TTGATTGGGGAATCACTACTACTGCCGGGCCTGCAGGGTGCAGAAAGGGGGCAGAGAGAACAGGCACCATCTCTCTCCACCCACCCTAGGGTTTCCTGGGGCGCTTGTGATCTGCAGAATCCACTGGGAGGCTGGAGGGCAAGGGTCACAAGCAGATGGAGCCCACGAACAGGGAAGTCTCCTACATCCCAGCACAGGGTGGGTGTGCAGTCAGAGTGCCCCTGGGGGACACGGGGGTCACTAACACTTTAATGGCAGAATTTCCAAGGTATAGTTTTCTATGCAGGTCTGAGTCCGGACACCAGAGGGCGGCAGAGCCCAGAGTGCCCCAATGTAAGGGACACTTTGCCAGAATTTGGACTGTGGGAAAGAAGAATTTGACCCAAGAGCAGCAGAAAACCAGTCTCTAAAAACCTAGGGGAGTTGCTGGTCAGGCTGGCTGAATAGAAATTCCCTAGATGAGCTAGGTGCTGGTGGCTCATGCCTGTAATCCTAGCTACTCTGGAAGCAGAGATCAAGAGGATCCTGGTTCGAAGCCAGCCTTGGGCAAAAATAAGCCATCTAGAGTTGGGTGTTGGAGGCTCATGCCTGTAATCCTAGCTGAGTCTCCCTAACTTTGCCCAGGCTGGCCTTGAACTCTTGATCCTCCTGACTCTGCCTCCCAGGTAGCTGGGATTATAGGCAGACACCACCACACCTGGCTAAAACTCTTATGTATTATGTGTTTACTGCTTTATTATGTTTCAGTTAGAGCAGTCGCTCCCAAGTGTGTCCTGGCAGCTTCTGTGTGGCCTGGGAATGCAGATTTGGGGGTGCAGAATCTCAGGCTAAGATCCAGACCCTCTCTGCATTAGAAACTGTGACAGGGAGTTGCGACAGACAGCATACACATTCTACTAGCCCTGGTTGAGTTCCTTCAGAGAACTGCTAAGCAGGAGAGCAGGGAAAGACTGTTGCTCAGGGCTTCACATAAAAAAAGGAGAAGGTGCCAGGCACTAGTGGCTCATGCCTATAATCCCAGCTACTCAGGAGAACAGAGATCAGGAGGATCACAGTTCGAAGCCAACCCAAGCAAATAATTCACAAGACCCTATCTTAAAAAATCCATCACAAAAAAGAGCTGGTGGAGTGGCTCAACGTGTAGGCCCTGAGTTCAGTCCCAGTACCCCAGTACACACAGTTCTCTTCCTGATGTGGGAATGCATTTGGAGTAGTACAGGACTTCAGGACAGTTCATATTTTTATAATTGTTTAGTTTTTGGCAGTTCTGGGCTTGAACTCAGGGCTCCCACTTGCTAGGCAGGTGCTCTGTCACTTGAGCCACAACCTCAGCCCTTTTGCTTTAGTTTGTTTTTTCAGATAGGATCTAGCGCTTTTCCCCAGGCCAGCCTTGAACAAGATCCTGACTACCTCCTGAGTAGCTGGGATTACAGGTGTGCACCACCATGTCTGGCTTGCTTTTTTTTTTTTTAATGGTACCGGGGCTTGAACTCAGGGCCTACACCTAGAGTCACTCTGCCAGCCGTTTTTTTGCAAAGGGTTTTTTCAAGATAGGGTCTTGGGGAAATATTTGCCCATGCTGGCTTCAAACCTCGATCCTTCTGATCTCTGCCTCCTGAGTAGCTGGGATTGCAGGTGTGAGCCTGTAAAACAGACAGGCTTGCTTTTGAAAGAAGGTCTTGATAACTTTTGCTGGGGCTGACCTGAAACTGTGATTCTTCTATGTTTGTCTCTTGAGTAGCTGGATTTCAGGACACTTTGGAAATGTTCTCCCTCCCTCCCACTCTCCCTCTCTTCCTTCCTGTGACCTGGCGTCACCGAGCTACACCACCAGCCCCTTGTGAAACCATTTGTAATGGTTAGTTTTATGTGTCAACTTGGCCGGGCCACAGAATCCAGAGATGTGGCTGAACGATCTTCTGGATGTTTCTGAAAGGGTGTTTTTTGGAGGAGCTTAGCATTTCCATCAGTTGAATGAAGCCTCCATCATGTGAGTCGGCCTCATAGAACCAGCTGAAGGCCTTAATAGAACAAAGACTGACTTCCTCCATCAATAAAGAAGTCTGCCAAAGACAGACATGGAAGCTCGTGCCTGAAATCCCAGCTGCTTGGGAAGCAGAAACAGGAGGAGTTGAGCTCTAGGCTAGTCTGGGCAAAGTTAGCGAGCTCTACTTTAAAATCAAAATGCAAACAAAACAAAAAAGGGGAGAGGGGGCTGGAGACTGAGGATTCAAGAACCACAGCGCCTTCGGAAAGCCCTCTGTTCGATCCCCAGTACTGGAAGAAAAAATAAGTCTGAAAGCAGTCATCCTTCAGACTTGATGGCACCGTGGGCTCTTCCTGGAGACAGCCAGAATGTCCCTCAGTGTAGTGGCGAGTGCATAAACACAGAACCATGAGTGGCACTTTTATTGCACTAAGTTTTGGAATTAGTTCCAGCACAATATATAAGGGGAATAGGAATCTTTACACTCCCAGAGACATTGTTGACTTTGAACTCGGGGGTGTCATCACCAGTGACAGAAATATGCTGAGGTGGCTGGAAATCCCAACCATCTGTTCCCGCCTTTTTCCTCTGCTAGTGCTCAGAGGTTCAGACGAGTACTGAAAGTCCCAGACACGTGGTGCTAGCCCCGCCCCGGCAAAACGGCGGGCACGTGACCCACAACTGACCAATCAGAAGACCCCATTTTCTAGCGTTCGTGATTGGCTCAACAGTGGCCACATGTTGGAAGCTGATCCAACCAGAGTCTGGCATGTGCTGAGAGCCTGACTTCCTCAGGCTTTGACCTCAACACGTGACCTGGCAAGCTATTTGTGCAGATGATAACGTTTTTAAACTCTGTCCTAAATGCATCTATTTAACCGGCCCAGGTTTTGGTTTTGGTTTTTTAGGCGGGACTGGGGTTTGAACTTAGGGCTTCAGGCTTTGCAAAGCGGAGCTCTACCGCTTGAGCCACACTTCCAGTTCATTTTGCTCTGGTTATTTTTGGAGATGGGGTCTGGCCAGCTGTTTGCCTGAGCTGACCTGGAACGTCGACCCTCCTGATCTCAGCCTCCCAGGGAGTGCTGATTACAGGTGTGAGCCACCAGGACCCAGAGGGCATGTGCTCTTAACCCCATCTTGTACATGGGGTAAAGTGAGGCTCTAAGAACTTAGAAAAATCACTCAAGGAAGGAAGGTGGACTCCAAAGAGATCACATTGTATGCTTCCATCTTTTTGTTTTTTTGGTGATCCTGGAGTTTGCACTCAGGGCCTCATGCTTGCTAGGCAGGTGCTCTGCCACTTGAGCCACACCTCCAGCCCTGTTTTATGTTGGGTATTTTTGAAATAGTGTCTAGGGAACTATTTGCCCAGGGCTGGCTTTGAACTTTGATCCTACCATTCTGGCCTCCCAAGTAGCTAGGATTACAGTCTAGAGCCACCAGCGCCCAGCTTGCTTCCATCTATTTAAAGCAAATACGGGCAAACAACCATTGAGGGCTAGTTCCTATCTGTTACCTGTTCTCCCCTCCAGTACTGGGACTTGAACCCAGGGCCTTGAGCTTGCTAGGTGGTGCTCTATTTGAGCCATGCCCCCAGCCCTTGCTGCCTGGTTTTTGTATAGCTCATAAGGCAAGAATATGTTTTATATTTTCAATGGGTCAAAAGAAATCAAAACACTAGTATTTCATGACATGAAAATTATGAGAAATTTTAATTTCTGTATCTATAAATAGCGTTTCCTGGACAGAGCCCAGCTCATCTGTGCTTTCAGCCTGTGGTTGATTTCCCATCATGACCCAGGTGGCTTGCAAAGCAAAAATAGTAACTAGCTGTCTGTTTGCAAAAGTTTGCTAACTTCTGATTTAAAATACAAACACGGATGGGCAGAGTACCTCACATATGTAACCCCATCTACTCGGCAGGTGGGGATTGGGAGGATTTCGATTCCAAGCCAGGCTGGGCAAAAAGTTAGCAAGATCCGCATCTCAGTCAGTAAGCCCAGTGTGGTGCTGTCAAACTGTAATCCTAGCTACCGGGCTGGTGTAAGTAGGATTGTAGTCTGGGCGAAAATGTGAGCCCTTACCTGAAAAATAACAAAAGCAAAAAGGGCTTTTTTACCTGCCTAGCAAGTATCATGTCTTGAGTTCAAATCCCAGTATGCCAATAAATAAATAAATAAAATTTAAAGTTAAAAAATCCAAAAAATGGGTTGGGCCCTTGGTGGCTCATGCTTCTAATCCTACCTACTTGGGAGGCAGAGGTCAGCAGGATCTTTTCCTTCATTTATGCTGGATTCAGCCAGGTTTCTGTTTCACGAACTCCTAACCCTAATACCCTATCTTCCAGGCACCTACTGTCATCAGTGCACGTCTCTGAAAACAATTTGTCCTGTTGCAATGCCGTGGGTCTTATACAGTCTTTTACATAATCCCACCTCCTCGGCTGTTATTGGCCCAGGGCTGGTTCATCACCAAAGTCTAGCCAATCATAGTAGACCGTGGTTTATGCCAAGTTGATTGATATACAGATGGACCAATTACAGCCCTTCCTTGGAATTGTTGCGCTTGGAGCCCAATGCACTTTGAGGCAACTGGGTGCCATGTTTTTTGAGCAAATAATGAGGGCAGAGAGGAAAAAACTGACTTGAGGTCTTTGAAATCAAGGGGCAGGGACACTTGCCCCTGCTTGTTTGGTTATGTGGGCCAACCATGTTCTCTTTTGGCCCAAGGTGGAGCAAGATAATTTCTGTCACTTGCATCCAATACAGACCTAAGTATAACAGTGCCTCATCACAAACACTGCCACACGCACACGCACGCACACACACCCGCGCACACGCACGCACACACACGCGCGCACACACACACGCACGCACACCCGCGCACGCGCACACACACGCGCACACGCACAGCACACACACGCGCACGCACACACACGCACGCGCGCACACACACACAGTCACTACAATCTTTGCACACACCAAATGCACACATACGGACCCTGATTCAACAGCTCAGTGCATGTGTCTTTATTTTTGGATGATATAAAAGAATAAACTTAAAAAACACTTCAAACCAAAAACCAATGGCTCCCCCCAAGTATTGTGACTCCTTTTCCCACCCCGATAAATAGAGACTTCTGTTTATCCATTCGCCCTCCCACCCCCATAATCCCCTCTGCTATAGACGTACTCTGGGTATATATTACTCTACTTAGCAATAGACATCTCCCGAAAATAGAATTCCAGCCCTGCCACCTGACTCTACCCTGGCCCCATGTCCCCAGGACCCCCTGCTTCAGACCACCCTCCATTGTAGGATGCTGGTGTCCTTGCCGCCCGTGGTCAGGGCCATGCTGTCATCCCACAAGAAGGCCACATTCGTCACATGGCTGCTGTGTCCACCATATTTGTGGCTGAGAGCCTGTATAAGGTTAGAAGTAGGTGAAAACAAGATCAAAGGAGGCAATGTCACTCTGAGGTCTTTTCGTCCTGACCCCCCCCCCCCTTTGTTTGGTTTAAATCCTTCCTTTAAAAACCAATTGTGAAACTGAACTATTTCCTCCAAGTTTAAAATCTGGGAGTGGTGAGGCACACCTGTAATCCCAGCACTCAGGAGGCTGAGGCAGGAAGATCTCAAATTCAAGGACTGCTTGGGCTGTATAAGTAAATTTCAGGCCATCCTGAGTAACATATCAAGACCCTGTCTCAAAAAACAAAACAAAACAAAAAACCCCCACAAAAACAGCTAGGTGCAGTGGCTCAAGCCTGTAATCCTAGATACTTGAGAGGCAGAGATCAGGAGGACCGCAGTTAAAGGCCCAAGCAAAAAGTTAGCAAGACCTCATCTCAACCAACCAGCCAGGCAGGGTGGTGTTTGTCATCCCAGCTAGGAGGGAGGTGTAAGTAGGATATGGTCTAGGCCAGCCCAGGGTAAAAAGGGTTAGGTGTATGGTTCAAGTAGTACAGTACTAGTCAGTGCAAGGCCCTGGGTCCAATCCCCAGTACTGTAAATAAAAGAAAATAAAATTTAAAAACTGAGGGACTTCATATTAAAATTCTGATTTCTCAGCTAGCCATGGTAGTTCAGGCCTGTAATCCTAGCACTCAGGAGGAACAAGAGTTCAAGGCCAGCCTGGGCTACATAATGAGACGCTGTCTCAAAATAAAAAAATCAAATCAAATCAAATCCTGATTTCTGACCTCTCTTAAAAAAAAAAAAAAAAAAAGACTTGGCTCCATAGACCTGCTTCCCATTAAATGTGGGGTGTAAGGAGAGGCTCCCCCAACCTCAGGCAGCCGGCAATCACCCTCACCATCTGCTGTTTGCCCCTGCAAATTTGGCCTCTGGCCCTTGTCCTAGAACTGCAGACATTCTTGGGTGCTGGAAATCTCAAAGCCTTGAAACCAGCACATCCCTTAGAATGTGAGCTTCATGAGGGCAGTGACCTTGTTTGTCTAATTCACTGACGTATTCCTTTCCCCAGCACATAGTAGGTGCACATCCAATATTTGTTATCATGCACCCATCTCAGAACTGCAGATGTTCTGAACCTTAAAAAGCCACATCTTCAGCCTGAAGTTCATTGAGGGCCAGGTGTGGTGTTGCATGCCTATAATCTCAGGACTTGGAGGCTGAGGGCAGGAGGATTGAGAGCTCAGAGCCAGCTTGGGCTACATAGTATGAGTGTGCCGCAAAAAAATCAAGGCCGGGGATGTAGCTAGGAAGCACAATGTCCTGGGTTTGAGCCTCGGCACAAGAAAGAGAGAGAGAGACAAAGGAGGGGGAGGGAGAGAGGGAGGGAAAGGAGGAAGTGAGGGAGGAAAGAAGAGGGAGAGAGGGAGGAAAGGGGGGAGGAAGAGAAAAGTGAAGAATGGTCCTTGGGATCAAATTCGCTGTGTCTGTCTGTCTGTCTGTGTGTGTAAACCAATGCCAAGGAGTGGGGCTGGACCAGAGCTGTTTGAATCTTGCTCCCAGTGCTACCCCCTGTCTCCCAGGTCCCCAAAGAGGCACTTACTCGAGGCTGACAGCAAGGGTAACTAAATAGGTGAACTTTGCCAAAGTCATCAGCGGAAACCAGCAGCTTCCCGTTGTGGGAACGGGCCACGGCGTTAATGTCGGTACCATCTGCCCCCTCTGACCAGATCCCTGCAGGCAAGGTAGGGAGGAGTGGCAAGATATCAGCTGGGGCTGGGGACCCAAGGAGAGCAGGCCCTGGCTCCCTGCATCCTTGCCTTCCCACCTACCCTGTCTCTATCAACCAAAGGACTCAGAATGACCTTTTAAAGAGGCCGATCCGATTGTTCACAACCCTCCCATCGCTTCCCAATGGTCTCAGAAGGCCTGTCATCCTACAGGCTCTGCTGGCCAGCTACTGCTACAGCCTCATCCTTCACTGGGACTGCTCTTCCCAGTGACAGCCATTCTGCCTTCTTGCATTTCTCCAAATGCCAAGTTCAATGACACCTCTGGGCTTCTGCATATGCTGTTCCCTTTCCTTGCCTAGAGACTGCTCTCCATCACCACCCTGGGAAGTTCCTCTTTATCCTCCATGTCAGCTGTCTCTTCCTCCAGGAAGCCCTCCCTACTTCCTCCCAGACCAGGCCAGATGGTACACCTACCCACTTTCCCTGTCCCAGCCCTACCCACTCTGGGCTATCACAGTTTAGGACCAAGTCTGTGTCCCACAAGGGGACTTTGAGCTCTGGGAAAGGAGGCTGGAGCTGTCATGGTCACTGCCTTGTCCCAGCACTGTCTCAGCACAAAGGTAGTGTGGAGTGACTGCATCCAGGCCTGGATGGGCACTGGAAGTGTGGAGTCCTCCAGGCCATGTGCCATCACCCATTTGGTCTCACTTCATGACAGCTCGAGGGGACCTTCTTGTGATCATCTCACTGCCCCACACAGTAAAGGGGGTGAGTTCCCCACCCTGGAAATAAGCAATAAGAAACTGTGCAAACCATCACCCTTGAATGTTGCTTCAAACTCCAGTCTTCAGTGGGACCTCCCTCATTCTAGAACTTACCAAACACACCAAACCCCAGGACACAAGTAGCAGTGGCCCACTCCACATTCCTCATGGCATCTGCATTAGTGATTTGCTTACAGGTGGCAGGGTCCCCTGGGGAAGAAAATCGGGGAAGTGTTCAGGGTTTTCAGAACTCCAGCCACATTCATCCATTTCCCATGCACAGGCACCCAAGGTCCAAGGTAGAGGAAGCCAGTGCTAATTCCACCTCCCTGGAGCGCCTGAGGGCTTGATTCTGGGTCCAGACACCCCAAAGCCTAAGCAGGGGCATCGCCATAGAAACTTGCCCCCCTTCCATCCTGCCAGAAAGGGGAAGAATTGGCTAAAAATGATCTCATCAGGAGGGAGTCACAAGCCAGAGCTCCAGAGCTCCTTAGTTCCAAATCAGAACACCTCGTGAACACTGAGCTGGGGGAGAAAGGTTCCTGCCTCCCTCACAGAGAACTCTGGGAAGTCTCTGTAAATTGCATGCAAATGAGGCTGAGGATGGGTCTCAGAGGACTCACAGTACAGAATCTCGTAGTCTCCGGAGTTGGTGACAAAGCAGCTGCTGTCCTGGGCCCAATCCAGGTGGGTGATAAAACTGGAATGGCCCTGGGGAGGACGGAAGGGGCAGAGTTAGAGCAGGCGAGGGCAGAACCAAGGAGAAGGGGACAGTATTAGATCAGGAAGGGTAGAAGGCAAAATACAGAGGAGGGTGAGAACACAGGGGGCTAGAGAAAGGATACACAGACCTTTGGAGTGTGGGGGCGGGGCCAGACTACTGTGGGTGGGGCCAGACTGTGATGGGCGGGGCAGACACAATGCACTTAGAACAGGATGGCAATTTAGAACACGTGGGCGGAGCCAGACACAGGGGGCGGGCCTTAAATGCAGGAGGCGGGGCTACACAGACATGAGTTTTGGGTGTGGAGGCGGGGCTACAAAGGAGCAGGTTTAGAACGTGAGGGGCGGGGCTACATGGAGGGGCGGGGCTTAAACACAGGAAAGGAATAAGGGGGCGGACTGAGACGCCTTGACGTGGTGGGGCAGTCAGTTGAGTGCTGAAGCTGTGCTCCCTTGAGGTAGAAAATTGGTTAATTCTGCACCCTCTGGGTGGCAGCGCGGGCTGGGGACCACGGCCCACTCACCGAGCACTTGCCCAGGCGGCTGACCTTGCGGCCGCCCTGGTCCACCGTGTACACGTACACCAAGTTGTCGTGGGAGCCCACGGCCAGGTATGCCCCGTCTGGGGGAGGGGGAGGGGCTATGAGGAGGCACCCAGGCTCCACCCCCTCCTCTCCCAGGCTCCACCCCTCCTCTCCCAGACTCCGCCCCTTCCTCTCCCAGACTTCACCCCCTCTTCAGCAACCCCCCCCAGGCTCCAACCCAACTACAATCCCTCCCAGGCCGTGCTGCACCAGCTCTATGCCCTCCGCCCCCTGTCTGTTGCTCTTGAGTCTTGGTCCCCAGGCCCTGCTTCTCCAGGGTCCCAAGCCCTGCGCCTACCTGGAGAGAAGCTGACCACTGAGATCTGCTCATTGCCATCGGTGTGGATAGCCACCAGGTCGTGGGTCTCTGTGTCCAGCAGCAGCCATCTTTAAGAAGGTGAAGTGGAGGAGAGAGAGAGTGAGCTGACCGGGCAAGGAGGGGCAGCAACCTAGAGGTGGTCTGAAGGAGGGAGGGGTGAGAGAGCCCACAGAGATGTGGGAGAGGTGACCCCCAAAGGAAAGTTGAGCCATTAAGGCCCGATAACCTAATTAACCTCTTGGCTTTGGGGGAGAAGGTAAGGTTCGCCCAAGGTTCAGAGAAACCCCAAACGCCCCCATTAGCTTTACCTGCCCGTCACTGTGCCCACCGCGAGCACAGAGCCACTGGGGTGGAAGCCGGCCGAGTGGGCAGGGTCCTAAGAAGGGAGAAAAGATGGAGGGCTGAGAGCTGGGGTCCTGCACCCATCCGGTCATTCCCCTGCTCCAGAGCCAGCTGTCAGCACAGCATGAGACGCTGTCCTAAACTGGAACCGGGATTACAGACCTGAGCTACTGGTACCCACGACCCCTTCCATGAGCATATGGGCCTGATGGAAAATACTCCCTTCACTGCCGTTTCTAAGTATGGTTCTAAATTCCCACAGCTCTTTATTCATCAAAAATAACTTCCTTAGGGCAGTTCCTAGAAGTGGGCCAATCGGGACAAAGGATGTATTTGTGTATTTTTTAACACTTTTGATTTTATAATTGTCCATATGTCTTCCATGAAAATATATACAAGTGCTGGGTTTGGTGGTACACACCTGTAATCCCAGCTACACAGGAAGTGGAGATAGGAGGATTGCGGTTTGAGGCCAGCCCGGGCAAAAGTAGTTGACACTTACTTATTTTGCAATACTTTGGTTTGAACTCAGGGTCTCAAAATTTCTAGGCAGGCGCTCTACCACTTGAGCCATGTCTCCAGCCCTTTTTTGTGAAGGGTCTTCTTGATAGGGTCTCATGAACTATTTGCCCAGGCTGGCTTTGAACTGTGATCCTCCTGATCTCTGCCTAGTAGCTAGGATTATACAGCCACCAGCACTGTGAGCAAAGGTAGTTTTTGAGACCCTATCTCAAAAACAAAATTTAGGGCTGGGAGCATGGCTCAAGGGGTAGAACAACTGCCTAGCAACCATGAGGCCCTGAGTTCAAATCCCACTGCTGCCAAAAATAAATTAGGAACTTGACTGCTTGGTTTAGCTGCCCACCCTCAGTTGCCTTTACGGGTATACTATTGCTTTATAATCATTTCTGCTTCAATAAAATCTAGCTTTTGCTAGATCAAATAAACATGCTAAAAAACCCAAAATTTTTAAAAAAGGCTGGGGTTGTAGCTCAAGTGGCAGAGCACCAACATGTGAAAAAATATATATGTATATCTTCAAGTGCTGGGAGTGGTGGTACATGCCTGTAATACCAGCATGCAAGAGGTAAAAGGCAGGAAAATCATGAGTTCAAGACCAGCCTGGATTACACAGCAAGATCCTGTCTCAAAAAAAAAAAAAAAAATTTCCAGTTATTATCGGTTGGGTCTGACTGTCTGTTCCTCCATGTCTTCATCAGCACTGGATATTATAATTTTTAATTTTATTTGAGGGACATTTGATTCCTTTACAGGCAGTAAAGCACTATGAAGTCAGACCTAGGTTCAAAGCATAACTGACACTTCCCAGCTACGTGACATCAAATAACTTGACCTGTTCAAGTTTTGATCGTTTCATCTCGCAAATGGAGATCATGAACAACAGGACTGTCATGCACAAGCTGTGAAGTCTTCACAATGGTAAGTGTGCAGGTAAGTGGCCCATGGTAAGTCCTGGCCAAGGTCAGCTATGCATGTAACTATACTGTCCTGTTGTGTTATTTCTCCTTCCTTTCCTTCCTTCCTCCTCCTCCCTCCTTCCTTCCCTCCTCTCTTCCTTCCTTCCTCTCCCTCCCTCCTCCCTTCCTTCCTCTCTTCCTCCTTTCTCCTTCCCTCCTTCCTTCCTTTCTCCCTGCCTCCCTCCTTCCTCCTCCCTTCCTCCCCCTTCTCCCTCCCTCCCTCCCCCTTCCTTCCTTTCTTCCTCCCTCCCTCCCTTCTCCTTTCTCCCTCCCTCCCTCCTTCCTCCTCCCTCCCTCCCTCCTTCCTGTTCCTTCCTTTCTTCCTCCCTCCCTCCCCCTTCCTTCCTTTCTTCTTCCCTCCCTCCCTCCCTTCCTCCTTTCCTCCCTCCCTCCCTTCCTCCCTTCTCAGGACCTTGCACTTACTAGGCAAGCACTCTACCACTTGAGCCACACTCCCGACTGTTATTCTGCCTTCGCAAGAGGGAAATCCATCATCCCTACTACCTTGAAGACTTTGGGGGAGGAGTGAAGACAATGGTGAGGGCCAGGTATGTAGCTCAGTGGTACAGCAGGTGTTTAGCTTTCGAGAGGCCCTGGTTCTATCCCCAGTGTGGGGGCGAGGATTATGCAGGTAAAGTGCTAAACTACTTTCTCCAGCCATGGTCCACAGACCACCTGAATTGAATAGTCTGAGGGAGCTTGTTTAAAACTGCAGATTTGGGGCTGGAGATGTAGCTCAGTGGTAGAGCACCTGCCTAGCATGCACCAGGCTCTGGGTTCCATCCCCAGCATGAAAAAACAAAACAAACTGCAGATTTTGGTGGGTAGTCGTGCTACTTGAGTGGCTGGGATAATTTTTTTTTTTCCTTTGGTAGTAGTGGGGTTTGAATTCAGAGCCTTGAATTTGTTAGGAAAGTGCTCTGTCACTTCAGCCATGTCCCCAGCCCTAGGGAGGAAGACGTAGGAGATAGGAGGATTGTAGGACAAGGCCCAGTCAGGAAAAAGTTAGCTAGACACCCTATCTCAAAAACAAACTAAAAGCAAAAGGATTAGGGGTGTGGCTTAAGGGGCAAAGTACTTGCCTAGCAAGTGTGAGGCCCTGAGTTCAATCCCCAGTACTGCCAAAAAAAAACCCAAAAAACCCCCCAAAAAATTACACCCCTTTCATAATTACTAGGAATACATTATCCTCAATCCACAGAAGTTCAAAGGGTATATAAAGTGTTCCAAGGTCAGAGGTCACCATGGAAGAATTCCAGAAGAAAAGCCTCAAAGAACTCTGTGGGGGATATAGGGACCAACCACCTTCCCACTCTACATAAGCAGAGGAACTAAAAAAACTACACTTCAGAAAATCCTTAGCAGCTAGAGGTATGCTGTGATTTGGGTCTAGCCATCCTTGCATTTTGGTAGACTCTGGAATGCAGAAGGCAGAGGTCTGCTTCTCCTACCAGTTGAGTTGTGAAAGCAATGGGGTCTGCTATACTAACACCCCAGGTGCAATCATCGGCCTTGTGCACAATTCAAAGGCAAGGGCACAGAGTGTCTGTGTCTGGCCAGTGCCAGTCTAGCCATCTTTCAGAGCTCTAAAACAAGACAGTCCACTGGAACCTTCACGCCAAAGGAGATACTCTTTCCTGGCTCTTTCAGTATAGTAGCTTCTAGCCACATGTGCAACTAACCCTTGAAAAGCCACTAAAGAGGGTGGGTGCCATTGGCTCACACCTGTAATCCTGGCTACTTGGGAAGCTGACGTTCAGAGGATTGTGGCTCACGGCCAGTTGAGCAAATAGTTCACAAGACCCCTGTCTCCAAAATAATCAGAGCAAAATGGACTGAAGGTATGCCTTCAAGTGGTAGAATGCCTGCTTTGCAAGTGTAAAACTCTGAGTTCAAACCCCAGTCCCACAAAACAAACAAACAAACAAACAAACAAACAAAAATCTCCCCAAAACTCAACCTGCTTCTCCAGCCTGTCCAGTGGCATTTGTAAATCCCTGTATTGGATACCCTTCTGCTTAAAATACCTTGTGTGGTTCCCAGCTGATGTACTGAGCCCTGAAGCATGAAGAAAAGGAATACTGGGAGAACAAATGTGTTCACTCCTCTGTCCTCTTACCTCAATGACCCTGCTCCACAAGGGCTGGTGGGACTCTGAACTCCACAGATGCACCAGTTTATCCTGCCCACAGGTCACAAACTGTGCCCGGCTGGGGTGTGCAGCCAGGCCCCACAGCTCTTCCACATGGCCCTGTTGGAAAGGGAAGATAGCAGAATGAAGCCTGTGATCCTGGCCCTTTCCCATCCACCCCTCATACCAGAAAGTAGCAGTGAAGTAGCCCTAGTCATCCACCCTGCCCAAGGTGACTCAGGCAAGACCTTTGCTCAAATATTCTGTCTCCCATGATGAGCTGACTCCTGCTCCGGTATGTGACTCAAGGCAAATCTGATTTTGCCTCTTGGGCCTCTACTTTCCTCAGCACGGTGAGAAGCAGGGGAGTGTTGTGGCTCAGAACTTGAGCTCATGAACCAGACAGACCACATCCACTTTGGCCACACATCTCCCAGGTGCACAGCTCCTGGGATCTGGGAAGTCCTCCTGGGGTCAGCCCTGGAGTCAGATGAGCCCAGCATCTCATGGAGAGCACTTAGCCTGGAAGATTGGCCCTCAACTCTCTTACTGACTGTGGCTAACCAGTCACCCAGGCTTCTCCTTGAAGCCTCTGTTGCTTTCTTTAAAATCGGACCAAACAACGCATGTGCCTTGCAGCCTGCCAGTGTCCCTCAAATCATGGTTAGAAAGTGCCACACACAAGGGCTAGCTCAAAGAAGGCATTCTAAAAATGGAAGTGGCTAGCTATTATTTATTTATTTATTTATTTTGCGGTGCTGGGGATCAAACTCAGTATCTTAGTAGGCAAGCACTCTGTCACTGAGCTCCAGCCATTATTATATCATTATATCATAATTGCCTTGGGATTGAACCCAGGGCGTTGCACCTGCTAGTCAAGCGCTCTACACTTGCACTAAGACCCTGGCCCTTTGCTTGGCTTTTGATTTTTCAGATAGAGTCTCACTAACTTTGCCCATGCAATCCTACTGCCATTTCCTTCTGAGTAGTTGGGATTACAGGCATGCACCTTCATGCTTGGTCCCTATTATTATTATTAATCACAGAAAATTATCAGTATGTTATTAATCTATAATTACCAATAATCATAGAATGACAATAGCTGCTATCCTTATGATTAATATTCATATAGTTACCATAATATATTTAGGCTGTTAACATGTTTTAGTAATATAAGAGGGCTTTAAGTTTCCTTCTGTCTTCAGGGCACCTAGAAAATCTCACTAGCCCTTGAATGCCTTCATTTTCTTATGGAAACCAGGGTCAGAGGAGAACAGATGCAGCAGGATGGATTTCAGCTGCACATCAGAGGGAAAAGGCAGGGAGCAGGTGAAGGCAGGGAACCACTGGAAGAGGAGTAATTTTGGACAAGACTCTGTGAGCACCTACTCTGTTGGGCACCAGTCTCAATGATGGTATGACGTGATTCATGGAATCCTTCTCAAGCCTTATGCCATTGTTTCTGTTACTCTTCCATTTCTCAGACACAGGGAGGTGACTCACTTGCCAAATATCACACAGCTAATGAGTGACAGGGCTCTGATTCCAATCCAGGCAGTCATACTCGAGAATATGTGCTTCTAACCGTCATGCTTCACGGCATCTCGCTAAGTGGGTTTTAATTGGATGGTGGTGGGACTGTGGCAAGCTAGAGACGGACGAGTGGGTGTTTGAACTACAAGAAGAAATCAGCTGAGAAGGTGAAGTTAGGAGGATCACAGTCCAAGGTAGGCCAAGGCAAAAGTGTAAGACCCTATCTGAAAAACGAACTAAAAGCAAAGGGCTGAAGGGGGTGGTTCAAGTGGTAGAGGCCTGCCTAGCAAGCACCAGGCCCTGAGTTCAAATCCCAGTTCCACCAAAAAAAAATAATAATACTTGATTTGTGCCACGTGCTGGTGGCTCACACCTGTCTGTAATCCAAGCTACTTGGGAGGCTGAGATCAGGAGGATTGTGGTTTGAGGCTAGTCAAGGCAAACACCTTGTGAGACCCCATCTTTAAAATAACCAAAGCAAAATGGGCTGGAGGTGTGGCTCAAGCAGTAGAACACCTGCTTTGCAAGTGCAAAACCCTGAGTTCAAATCCCAGTTCCACATACAAAAAAAGAAATTAGATCCATCCCAGGAGGCCTTCCCACATCCTTGGCCTTGGAGGTGTGTGACCTGTATGACAGTAGGACAGTCTGCCTGGGCACTTACCAACAAGATGGAAGGATGCCACCCCCACAACAAGAAGAGAAGAAGGGGAGGAGGTAGTCTGGTTGTGGGGTCATCCTGGCGACCCACTGACTGCTGGATCATGGGGAGTTCTGGGGGGTCCTGAACAAGGGCAGGGTGAGGTACTAAGGTGGGAGCAGGTAAAGGAAATAGAAGTGGCATTTGTTAGAGAACAGGGGAAGGGAGGGGCAAGGATGTGAGGAGAATGGGAAGAGTGGAGGGGTGGCTGTAGAGGTGCACACCTGTAATTCCAGCTTGTCAGGAGGCAGAGGCAGGGGATCAAGAGTTCCTCCTTAGTGAGAACAAGTCTTAAAACAAAATACAAACAAAAGGGCTAGGGGTGTGGCTCAAGGGCTAGAGTGGGAGTCCCTGGGTTCAATCTCAGTACCAGGATAAAGAAAAAAGACTGGATGATTGAGTAGTACAGGGCAGAAAAGCGGAGAAATAGCAGCAGAGGGTGAGGGTGCCAAGACAGCGCTCACCTGAATGAGCAGTGAGAAACCCGTGTGCACTGACCCCTGCAGGATGGAGTTGCGGGTGGTCCCCACATACAGCGTGTCTCCCCGGCCCTCTGCCACAGTGCGCACGGGGCCAAAGTCCTCAGGGACCTAGGGCAGATGAATGTAGGACACACAGATCAAGGGTGGGAATGACATGCGGACTGGGGGTGGGAGGTCTAGGTTTAGGAGCTCTGATGGGGTGAGGCCCTCTCCATCCTCCTTGGAGCCCCTCACCTCCTTACCTCCACCTCCTGCAGCTTGCTGTAGTCAAAACCCCAGAGGACCACCCGTCGGTCACGGCCTCCTCCAGACACCAGCGTCCCACCCCGCAGGGCGCAGAGGGCAAACACGCCACCGTCATGGGCACCCAGCACCGCCTGGGTGATGCGGTTTCCACCTGCAGGTGGCCACGGGCGGGGGTTAGCATGGAGAGGCCAATGTCCATCCATTCACTCACCTTTCAATCTTTGCATCTGCCCTTCCACCCACAACCCACCTACTCTCCACCCAGGGACTCAAGAGCCCGATCAACCAGTCACTAAACCATTGGACTAACATCTGCCCAACCACCCTTTGATTCATTCACCCCACCCCACCCACACATACCCAGGCCTTCATCCACTCACCTGGCCACTGTCTGTTCATCCATCCACCCACCCATCCATCCGCCCATCCATCCATCCATCCATCCATCTGCCCAGCATCCACCCATCCATCCACCTGCCCACCTGTCCATCCATCCATCCACCCATCCATCCATCCGCCCATCCACCCATCCATCCATCCACCCATCTGCCCCATCCCTCCCTCCATCCATCCATCCATCCACCCTCATCCACTTATCTACTGAACCATCAATCCATCCATTCACCCTTCCTTCCATCCATCCCTCCATCCATCCATCTCTCATCCATTCACTTACTTTCTCTTTCATCCAACTCCATCCAAACATCTACCTGTTTCTACCAATTTTCCTATCCATCTACCTATTTACCCACCTGTCCACCATCTGTCAATCCACCCATCCAGTCATTCATCCATTAACAAATTTAATCAACAACCATTTAACTAGCATTTACACTGTGCCCCAGTCTCATATTAGGGACACAGTGGTGACCGAGACAACCTCAGGTCACACTCTTATAGGGCTTACAGTTCAATGGCACACTCAGTCAGTGACAGCCACAGTGGTTGGGACTGGGAAAGGGACACCCAGGAGACTGTGAGATTCTACAGAGAAGGCACCTAGCCTGGTAGGTCAGGGAGGGCTTCCTGGAGGAGGGGATGGCTGAGCAAAGATCTGAAGTTGAGTAGAAGTCCACATTTCAGGTGGAGGAAACAACTTTCCCTTATGAAGGTAGAGAATAAGAGCAGAAACTGTTTAGAGAACTAAAAGAAATCTGATGTAGCAGAGAGTGGTGGTACACTCCTGTAATCCCAGCACCCCGGAGGCTGAGGTAGGAGGATTATGAGTTTGAAAACAGCCTAGGGTACATAGTGAGACCCTGTCTCAACAACAAAATACAAATACAAGGGCTAGAGCATAGCTCAAGTGGTAGAGCACTTGCCTAGCAAACACAAGGCCCTCGGTTCAATCCTCAGTACTTCCACTTCCCCCCCACCAAAAAAAAGAAAGAAATCTGGTCTAAGTGTACAAACAATGGCAAAAGCATCAAGATGGAGAAGGCAGGGCCTGCCCTCTTCCTTATCCCTTGTATCCCTTGTCCCCAGGAACCTGGGAGTAATGGAAGGAGAGGGACAGGGTCACATTTACATTTGCTTCTGAGCTGGAGGGGGCAAGACTGGAAGCCGTGAGGCCAGGGAGAGGCTGAGGGGAGAGGAAGGATAAAACTCTCTCCAGTTTCCTCATTCTACCACCCTCAGATGCTGTTCTACTTCCTCCAAGTAGGCTGGGCTCTTTTTTCCTGTTCTCTTATTTTTTGGCAGTACTGGGGTTTCAACTCAGGGCCCCAGGCTTGCTGAGTAAGCGCTCTACCACTTAAGCCAGTCCTCCAGTCCTAGAGTTTTAATTTATTTTTTTTCAGAACCCAGGTCTGGCACACTCTTAGCACATGCTCTACCACTGAGCTACACCGCCAGCTCTCCACTAATTTATTGATAAGGTCATCTATTGGTTGGAACAACCATTTTTCATCTGTTGGCTAAAACAATCAATTCATTCAATCATCGACCACTTCTTAGAACAATCTATTGTTTTTAGTTTTAGTTTTGGTTTTAATTTTTGCGTTACTGGGGCTTGAACTCAGGGCCTACACCATGAGCCACTCCTCCAGCCCATTTTGTGATGTTTGTTTTTCGAGATAGGGTCTCAGGAACTGTTTGCCCAGGCTGGCTTCAAACCATGATCCTTCTGATCTCTGCCTCCTAAGTAGCCAGGATTACAGGCGTGAACCACTGGCACCCAGCTGGAACAATCTATTCTTAACAACGCAGTGATCCATTGGCTAAAACAACCATTCATTCACTCATTCATTCATTCTGTACCACTTTATAGATGCATTGCCTGGAACAAGATCTATTCACTCATTATCATAGTCATTATAGTGACAACCACTCATTTATATAATTTTTCATTCACCTAATCACATGCATTAAGGAAAAGGGCATATTCATTTACCCAGTCTTCCATTCATTGAGTGGGATGACCCCTTCATTCATTCATGTCATTATTCACTCGTCCATTAATCCACAGGATGAGATAAAGCATCCATCCACCCACCCACCCACCCATTCATTCATCCATCCATCTATCCATCCACCCATTCATCTATCCATCCACCCATCCATCTACTCATCAACCATCCACCCACCCACCCACCCATCCATCCACCCACCCATCCATCCATCCATCCATTCATCCATCCATCCACCCACCCACCCACCAATCCATCCATCCATCCATCAATCCACTCATCCATCTTTCCATCCACTCATCAATCTACCTATCCACCATCCATCCACTCACCCATCCATACACCCATCTACCGATCCACATATGCATCCACGTTCCATGAGTTAGCCCATTCATTTATACTTCACTTGACCCCTCACATGGATTGTGAGGACAGGGCTGGGGAGTCAGTAAGAACTCTAGGGAAGGGGATATTTGAGCTGATTCTGGATGAGGGCGTAGGAACTGGACAGGTAAGGAGTCACCTATTGTACCACTCACTCCACACATCATGGTTAAGGAAAGGGGGCACAGCTAAGGTGTTTGGGAAGACTGGGTTGGGGACAAACAGGTGGGGTGATACTAACCTTTGCCCCAGACATAGAGGTTTCCCCCGGAGTCTCCGGTGACCACGTCGCCACCCTCCAAAAAGGTCACACACAGCACATACTTTGGTTTCTCATGTTTCTAAGGTGGAGAAAGAGGGAAAGGCATCTAGTGTCACTGAGCAGGGTGGCCTCCCAGGGGTCACCTGCATCCAGGGTCAAGGTTCAGGGGACCCCTTTGCTCTTTGGGGTCTGAGGCCCTGTGTGAAGTGTCCCATCTCCACCTGCCTCCCATTGGAGTTTCTGACCACCTGGGACTTTCTTCCTACTTCTCTCTGGTTGTCAACTTCTCTCCTGCTTGCTGTGCCTCGCTCTGCCCTCTCGCTCCCTTTCTGGGCATCTTTCTGTCTCCCTAAGTCCCTTTCCCTCCATCTCCCACTTTTGTCCTCTCTTCTGCACCTCCATCTATGCCTGGTGCTCTCAGTGCTCCCTTCTGAGCAAGCAAAGGCAGAGAGCCCTCTCAGAGGCCCCCTTATCTCCCCTCTGGGGCCTCCACTTCATGTTCAGTTTCTGTCTCTCTCAGCCAGTTAGCCTGTGGCCTCTGTGGTCACCCTTGTCAGTGACTGCAGGCTCCATTCATTCTGCATTTAGTATCTGCTGGGAGCTGCTGTGGTTTTGGTTTTTTTTTTTTTTTGGTGGTACCTGGGTTTGAACGCACGGTCTGATGCTTGCTAAGCAGGAGCTGTTCCACTTGAGCCATGCCCCCATCCTTTTTGCTTTAGTTTCTTTTTCAGATAGGGGCAGGCCTCAACCATGATCCTCCTACCTCCACCTCCTGAGTAGCTGTGCTTACAACTGTGTTATTCTATACCCAACTTGTTTTTTGAGATAGGGTCTCAGTAGCCTTTTTGCCCAGACTGGCTTTTGAACCTCTAGCCTCCTATTTCCACCTCCCAAGTAGCTGAGATTATAGGCATGTACCACAATGCACAGACCTTGATGATGCCTTCTTTATCCCACTGAATTCTCACACTTCAGAGTCCCCACAGTATGGACAAGGAAACTGAGGCCCAGCAGGCAACAGCTCAGCATCCTGTACCACCCAGTGTCTGAGGCCCTCTGGGTGGTCTCCATATCTGGGCCTGGTGTCCCTGCCTGCATCTCTCAGGACCAGTGCATCCCCAAGCCCCAGGCACTCACCTCGAAGAGGCCCTGCCGCTTGCTCAGGCTGGCCCCCTCCAGGCTCCAGAAGTAGATGTGGGATTTCCCGCAGGTGATAAGCAGCGTGGGGTCTGTGGGGTGGAAGGTGGCCACCAACACAGCCTCATTGGAGCACTTCGGAGGGAGGGGAGATTCTGAATGAGGGCCTCAAAGCCACCAAGGTTACCATACCCACCCCACATAAGATGCCCTATACGGTTGAGCAGGTTGTACCTTTCCTATATGGTAAACTAAGGTAGGAGCAGAGTAGAGCATCTTGGCTGGCATCACCAGCCTAACAGCAGACACTCTGAGTCCCTACTGTGCACTACACACCGTGCTAAGCACTTTATGTTCACTAACGTATTATTCTCCAGTGTCCTGGGAGGTAAGGCCCATTAGTTCCCTGGCCCCACTGCACATGTCAGGGTTGGCCTTGAACCACAATTCTCCCGATCTCAACCTCCCAAGTAGAAAGGATTGCAGGCATGAGCCACCGGTGCCAGGCTAGGCTTGAACTCTTGATCCTTCTGCCTCTACTTCCCAAGTGCTGGGATTATAGTTGTATACCAGCATGCTGGGCTCATACTGACCCTTCTTTTGGGCCTGGTCCACCCACACTGTCCTCTAACTTTCTCTCTAAGACCCTGTAAGGAGAATGTTACCACTAACCCCATTTTACAGTGAAGCAACTGAGACTCAGAGAGGGTAAGTCACTTATACAACGTCACACAGCCAGCAAATGGCAAAACAGGACTTAGAGACAACCACAGTATTCAACATGTCCCACATCTGTCAGGGGCAGAGGATAAGAGTGGTTCACCCCACCTTGCAGTCCACCACCTTGGTCTCTTTGGCCCAGTCCCACACAGACAGTATGTGATCGTTGGATTCGTCCACTGCACACAGCAGGTTGCCCCCATTCTGCAGAAGAAGACAGAGGGAAGGTGAGTCAGGATCCATTTTCTCTCACCCACTCTCACTGCAGCATTCGACATGCAGGCCTGTTTTAAGACCTCCAATGTTCTGTCACATGAAGCATATTAAAATCCAGCCTTCCACACACCCAATTTAGGGACCGTAAAATCTTTTTGGGAAGATTTTGAACTCAAGGCTTTGCACTTGCAAAGCAGGTGCTCTACCACCAGTACATTTTGCTCTGGTTATTTTGGAGATGGGGGTCTCCTAACTGTTTGTCCAGGCTGGCCTTGAACCACAGTCCCCCTGATCTTAGCTTCCCAAGTAGCTAGCATTACAGGTATGAGGCTGTGCCCAGCCTTTTTGTGTGTGTGGTGCTGGGGATGGAACCCAGGGCCTGGTGCATGCCAGGCAAGCACTCACAAAATGCCCCAGCCCATTCCCTTCACAGGTTTTGATAATTTGCCTTGTGAAATGATTCATGTCTAAGAAATTCTTTTACTTCACATTCTGCTGCAGGAATCCTTGCTGACAACCTCTACTCTGAATTTTCACACAGAATGACTTTTGCGGGGCGGGGGGATACTGGGGTTAGAACTCAGGGCCTCACTCTTGCTAAGCAGGTGTTCTACCACTTGAGCCACTCCACAGCCCCCCCCCCCACTTTTTTTGTGATGGGTTGTTTCAAGATAGGGTCTCAAGAACAATTTGCCCAGGCTGGCTTTGAACTGCGATCCTCTTGATCTCTGTCTCCTCAGCTAGGATTAGATTACGGCGTGAACCTCTGGAGCCCAGCTGAGACAGGTTCTCACTATGTAACTCAGATTGGCCCAAAGTTCACCATCCTCTTGCCTTAGCCCCCAGTGCTGAGATTACAGTTGTGCATCACCACACTCGATCTTTTTTTTTTTTTTTTGTGGTACTTGGGATTGAACTCAGGGCCTTCACCTTCAGCCACTCCACCAGCCCATTTATATGAAAGGCTTTTTTTGAGGTAGGCTCTTACAGAACTATATGCTTGGGCTGGCTTCAAACTGCGATCCTCCTGATCTCTGCCTCCTGAGTAGCTAGGATTATAGGTGTGAGCCACTGGTGCCCAGCTCAACTTTTTTTTATATACATGAAATCCAACCATTTCTAAAGGTCTGATGATTTTTTTTAAATAACTTTCATTAGATACAGATTTACTTTGATTGAGCAGGGTTGTCTTCCCCAGCCACACACACTATGACAACAATACAGCATTTTCTTGGAAACTCTGTTAACTCCTTAGGTAAGCATCAGAAAACCTGTGTGGCTCTACTCCAGGGTTTTTTAAACTATGTGTGGGAGGACAGGTTGTGTTTGCTCTCCAATCCACTGCAGTACGATAAAAATGTAAAATATGATTTTTTTTAAATGCCATCCATCACACGCTGGAGTGTTGTGCCAATGTTAAATTACTCCATAAATACCTAAAGGCTTACTCGTGATTTCTGTGTTTATCCGGGTCTAGACAGACCATGGCGCCAGATGTTTCCAGAGAGGGCAGGAGTGTGAGAAACACTGCAACAGGTGTCAACTGATCCTCAAGGGAACGCTGAGCTTTTTGGGGACAAATCGGGCTACCCAGTGTCCCTCATAATGGAAAACCAAGCAGGCCTGAGCGATTACAGGGATTCAGGGGAGCCCCAGGGCTTGGACCGGGCCAGGGGCGTGGTCACCTCGGTGACGTCACGAGGGGCGTGGCCTCCAGCCCCAGGATTCCGTAGAAAGGTGCCTCTGGCTACTCCCAAAAAGAGGCGATGGGTCAGGCTGTGCCAGGGACTTACCGACTTAGAGAAGCCCACACAGCACACGGCTCGGTCAAACACCCCCAGGCCCAGCACGTGTAAGGTGGAGAGGGAAACTGAGTCCCAGATGCGCACATGGGGCGGCAGGGGCTGCAGGAAAGAGCGGACGTTACCTAGTGCTCAGCTCCTGTCCTGCCCACTTTTCTGCTGGCCCCCTCTCCTGCATCACCTTTCCCTCCTTTGTGGTGCCGGCCACTTGCCCCGTGGCGATGGTGACCATATCCGGGTGGACAGCCAGGCTGAGGAGACAGGGGACAGATGGACAGGGCTCAGCGGGAGGGGAAGGGCTCCCAGGGACCCAGGACCCCTCCTGCTGTAGGTTATTGTCTCAATGCCTGGTTATTTCCATCACGGACTGGTTGGTTTAGTCTTTTGAAAGCAAGAGGGGAGACCCAGCAGGCCGGCATCTCTAACCCCAATGTCCTCAGGGCTCTGGCCTGCACAAAATAGTGACCATGGTGACCCACAGATCTAAAGGGGCCGCCTCCAACCCATGGTGTGATTGTCCTGAGGCCTGTTAATGTTTTTCTTTTTCCCTTTTCTTTTCTTTTTTTTTTTTTTTTTTTGAGACAGGGTTTTGCTATATAGTTCAGGCTGGCCTGGAACTCTGGATCCTCCTGCCTCAGCTTCCCAAGTGCTGGGATTAAAGGCATGCACCACCATGCCTGGCTCCAGTTCAGGCTTTTCAAAAGAAGCAGAAACTGTAGGCATTGAGTGAAATTAGCAATATCTGAAATACTGATAATCTATTCATATTTTTCTACTGACTCCTGCCGAGAAGCATATGGTGGTCTTGCAGATGGGGCAGCCTTGTGAAAAGATGCCCACCAGTCACAGTGGCTCAACTTCTGCCCCAGTGTCATGGCTGTCCCACCCCCTGTCCCTGCTAGGCCTCACCATTTGATGTCATCGTTGTGTCCCAGGTAGTGTCGCTGCCTCTGCTCCTCCACACTGTACAGCACAGCCACAGAGGCCACAAAGTACACTACCTCTCCAGTGGGTAGCAGATAAAGGTTGGCCCGGCAATCACGGCCACGGTAGCCATAGCTGGGGACACCCGGGGCCAGTTAAGGAGCCTGTTTTACACTGTGCCTGGCTGTCCACGACTCAACATGGCCATGAAATGAGGTTATTTGTCTCTGCTCTCATCCCTGTAGTGAGGTGAACTCTGGTGCCCTCAAAAAGTAAGTCCACGTCTTAAACCACCTACCCCAACCTGTACTTGTGACCTTGTGTGATGTAATTAAAGTCTCAGGATTCGATTATCCTACGTGATCTGCATGGACCCTAAATATGGTGATAGGAAGGATCTTTATTTGAGGTTCAGGGGTTTGAACTCAGGGCCTTGCACTTGCTAGGCAAGTGTTCTACCAGTTGAGCCACGATTCCAGTGTTTTTTACTTTTACTTTTTTCAGATAGGGTCTGGAACTTTTTCCCAGGTAGGCCTTGGACCTTGATCCTCCTCTCTCTGCCTCCTGAGTAGCTGGGATTACAGGCATGCGCCACCACTCCCACTTCTGTCTCTCATAAAGACAGAAGAGGGCTGGGAGCATGGCTCAAGTGGTAGAGTGCTTTGCCTAGCAATCCCCAGTACTGCCAAGAAAAAAAAAAAGTACATGTATCCTGTTCCATGGAAACCACTGTGCCTGGCAGTTACCGCAAAGATGGGGGAGCTGAGGTCTGCACCAGCTTCTGCAGTCTCAGCCAACTCTCATGGCTGCCGAACAAGCCCTAACCGGCAGGATAATCGCCCCGATTGCCCTGGATATTTCCAGCTGCCTACAGAAGGCTCTGGGCTTACAGAAGGCTGAGCCATTTCCCCAGCCTGTTGGACAATCCCAGAGAGACTAGCAAAACCTAGAGCAAGGAAGACAGGGCCTGAATTCCTGGAGCGTGGACTCCAAGCTGATGGGCATTTTGGAAAGAGCCCAGTATCAGGGTCTTTGCCTCAGATCTGCTCTAGACTGGCTTCAGATCTCAATCCTCCTACCTCTGCCTCCCAAGTAGCTGGGATTACAGGTGTACATCACCAGGCTGCACCAGAATGGTCTCCTTTTAGTTCCTTCTGGTTTCTCAGTGTTCAGAAACCCAGGTACTGCCCCAGAGTACCACAACCTCAGGTTGTGGTAGTCCCAGCACTTATCCTAACAGAAACAATCTTGTTCATTTGCTCTGTGGTTTCTGGGTTCTCATCTCCCTCCCCCATTTTAGGAGCTGAGTTCCATGGATATGGCCCACAGGTAGAAGTGACTCAGACACCTGAAAAACACTTTGCAAAAACTCATGACAGCAGTGAATGGTAAAAGCTCATGCTGCCTATCCTGCACTCTATGTCTGCACTCCCCTGAGCCACGGTGTTCCTTGCCCTTGGCCACAGAGGCCTGGGAAGCCCCAGTTTCAGTCCAGTCCTGAGTCCCTTCCTCCTGCTGAAGTCCTTCAACCAGGACCTCTGGGGCCAGAGCACAGAGGATGGGGGGTGCAAGGATCAAAGCCAAAGGATACACCCAGTCCAGTTTGAACCGACAAGAAGGTAGCTCAGAGCGCGTATCCAGGCTGTAGGTGGGTGCCAGTTCATCCGGGATCAACATAGGCACAGGACGACCTCTCAGGAACATTTTCACAGAGCCCTCCTCTGCCAAGACACCCCCAGAGGTCAGGTGCCACACCAGCCCCCAGTCCCATTCCCATCCCTCTTGAACTTCATTTGTTTATATTTTTTGAGACAGGGTCTTCATGTGTAGCCCCAGCTGACCTCAAACTTGCAATTCAACTGCCTCAGCTTCCTGAGTGCTGGGATTACAGAAGTGCAACACCACATCCAGTTTCACTTTTTTTTTTCGGTACTGGGGTTTGAACTTAGAGCCTACATCTTCAGCCAATCCGCCAATCATTTTTTTGTAATTTTTTTTTTTTTGAGATTGGGTCTCATGAACTATTTGCTCAGGCTGGCTTTGAACCGTGATCCTCCTGAATAGCTTCACTTTTTTTTTTTTTGAACAGGTGGAGAAACTGAGGCCAAAGAGTAAAGGCCCAGTAGCTAGGACTCCTGACTTCCAGATCTGGCAGGTCACCCCAGCAAGCCTCCATGGAAGTCCCTCCCACCCTCCCCACTCACCCATGCTGAAGATAACTTCTTTGGTTTTGCTGCCAGAAGATGCAGAAAAAAGAAAGAAAAAAGTGCTTTAGCCAACAAGTCAGCACGGGGACAGAAGTGCTCCCCCACCCCACCGCTGCGCCGAGGTCTCTGTCGGGAAACTTTTGGAGGCGAATAAGGAGCAGAGCGCTGCGTCTCTGCAGGCCGTGTGCTTTGCTCGGTAAGACTAGCAGAGCCTAAGACACAGGCCCAGAGAAGCAGTGATCGCCAAAGATCACACAGCACGAAGTAGCAGGGCCGCGATCCTGGAAGAGGGGCGTCACCCCTCCCTCCTAATCTGCACGGTGCTCCCAGCGCTCCCCACTCCCAACCCCCCCCAAACTTAAAGCAGCAAGAGAAGCAGCCCAAGTTCAAGGGAAGGGGCGTGTCTCCAAATTCCCTCTGCCGGCGGAAAGGGGTGAGGCTCTCGGACCTGGGTCCCTGGGAATCGGGGTGGCCTGGGATTCAGGCCCCGGGAGAGTGGGGAGGTGGGAGGGGGTCTGCGAGAGGGTCTCACCCAGCTCCAAAGCTACTCATGGCGGCGGTTGGCGGAGCTTCGGGGCCGGGGGAGGAGCCGGGACCAGCTCCGCCGCTTCCGGCCCTGGGAGGCGCCCGCGCCGCCGCGCCCTGCCCCGCCCTCCGCGGTGCCACTGGGTCCCACATCCCGGGCTCTGGAGTCCTGATACCAGGCTCTTTTTGGGTGAGGGGGAGTGAGGGGGGTTAAAAATGATTGAGAACACAGACTCAGGAGCGCGCTTGCCGGAGTTCAGACCCAATTTTGCCTCTTTGTAAGCAGTGTGGACACAAGTTGTCCAATCTGCCCCGGTTTCCTCATTTTAAAAAATCTGGATAATCACCACCTCCCGGGGTGGCTGCAAGGATGAAATCGGTGAGTGCAGTAAGCCTGGAGTAGTGCCTGACACATGCTATCATTTCAATAGATGGAAACGTGCGGATTTGGACCCTGGTCCTGCCCTAGCCTAGTGTCCCAAGACCTGACCACGCCCACCTGCACCGTGACTCCACCCTTAGACTTTGACTCCGCCCAAATCTCCCGATGACCCCGCCTCCAGAGAGTTGACCATGCCCAGAAATCTGATCACACCCACTTCCTTCTCCTGATGTGCCCCCAAATTGACTTGGTCCCTTGCTCAGTCTCCCTCCCCACCCCACTTCCGCTCTCCTCTGACCACTTCTTTCACGTGCCCAGTGCCAGTGTTGAGTCCTTTCAAGGCCTCCAAATTGGCTCCGCCTCTCGATGTTGAACCACGCCCATCTAGCCCAGCCACGCCCATTTTCACCTGGGCAAGAGTCTCCTGATTCCACTCTGTGCAGGGCTCCTGAAATCTGACAAGTCCCCTACCTAATCTCAGCCCGGGCTCTGATTCTGCCCAGGCCCTACCCTTTGGCCACACCCTCAAAGCCGAACCACACCCCTATCTCTGATTCTTCCATTCCCTGCAGAAACTCTGAGGCTTGGGCCCTGACTCCACCCTGACACTCAATGGGGACTCTGTTTTACCTTTAATAGTCACACCCACGAGTCTGCCTTCTCCCTGACTTCCTGTCTGGTTCACCCAGTTAGACCTTGACCATCCATGCTTTGTGGGTTCCAGTTCCTCTATAAGGCCACGCCCCCAACATTGGCTCCGCCCTCCAGGACTCCTATATTTGACCAGGCCACCCCTCGTATTCTGAACCAGCGCACCCCAATGTAGGTTATGATCATGTGGCCAGGGGCATGACTCTAAATTCCCCATCTCTTCCCCTGCCTGTCTGGGGTTGTAAGCCCTGCCCCAACACCTACCCTTCCTTTTTGGCGCTACAATTGCTGCTGGAGGATGTGGTGCGGCTGCGGGGATCCTCGCGACGCACGGAGGCAAGGCGCTCTGGTGACAAATAGCGTCGGCCACTGCGAAAGAGAGAGCAGAGTGCTGGGAGCAAAGCCTGCCAGTCCTCCCTTACACCCTCGGCTGCTGGAGCTCGGGCACCTGAGTGTCCCCCCACCCGCCCACTCCCCACCATCACCCCGCCCTCCATACGAACAGCCTCCGGGATCTTCTTCAAGGTCTCGGAGGAGGCTGAGACTCCGGTTTCTTTCCGTGCCTTACCTGCGCCCGGAGGTCGCCTCTTTCTTAGGGGAAGATGGGGACGTGGCATAGCCGCCCACACGCCGCGGGGGTCCCGAGCCATTTAGGGGCGTCCTGGTGGGAAGGCCTTTTAAGAGCTGACACACTGGAGCGGATGGGGACAGAGATGGTGAGTGCGAGGTCCCAGCCCCGGGACCTCCCCCATCTCACTCCTCCAGCCTAACCAGGATACCCGAAGCGGTGGTCCCTAGACGCGGGGGCGCCCGGCCCTTGGGGGTGCCCCTCGCGCGCAGCGCCGCGCCCTGTTCTTCGCATGCCCGCAGGCGACGCAGTGCGTCCGCCAGCGCCGCCTTTAGGACCGCCAGCTCGTCTTCCTGCAACTGCAGCCGCTGCTCCAGCGCCGACACGCGGTCGTCCACCTCCATGCCGCTGGTGCCCGACAAATTGTCATCTAGAAGGCGGGGGAGTGCGGGCTGCGGGGGGCCACCCAGGACCTCTAACGCCGGAGGTGTCCCTTCTGCCTTCCAGATCTAAGCAGTGGCCAGCCACGCTCCCTGTCCTGCAACCTGGGGCCGAGATGCTTGGAGATGGGCCAAGGAAGAGGGCTCCGCGGGGGGAAGGAAATCACCGCTCGCCCGCCCTTCCCCAACTCCTCTCTCTGCCACTTGCTCCCTGGCCTTGTGACCTTGGGGAAGTCCCTACCTCTCTTGAAGATTCTACCAATCCAGGAGCCTCACTCCATTTTTAAGATTCTGTGACTAAGATGCTAAAAATCTATGAGTGACATCAACATTATAAGGATGACATCAGCCCACTTTCAGTGACACCAACGTTCTAGAATGGATCCCCCATTCGCTGACTGATATCAATATTCGATTACGGGTACTAAATCCTCCCCTCAATGTTTCTAAGACTCCAGGCCCAAAGGTCTTGCCTCCTTCCTCCCCTCCCCTCCCCTCTCCTCCCCTCCCCTCCTCACCAAGGGATTTGCCCCTCCAGGCAGCCACAAGGACAGAGCTTTCGCGACCCCTGGCGGCCGACTTGGGGGTTGCAGGCAGTACATAGTGGATTCGGGAGACCCACGTAACATGCAGGTGACACTCAACCTCGCCTCCCCATCTGGAGTTTCTCTTCGCTTGTCCTCCTGTACCCCACACCTCAGATTTGGCTCCCTCCCTCTTCTTCAACTCATTAGTACATCCTACGTGTCTCCCTAACTGCCCACTTACCCCGCCCATTTTCCCTGAAGTGGGGGAACTTAGGTGGCCCCCTCCCCTCCTTCCGTCCCACATCATTCATACCCAGACTCATCGCTGTCCCTCACAGTCGAGGAGGCCCTGGCTCCCAGCCCGGTGGACGTAAAGATGGTCGCATAAACAGAGACGGGGCTTGGAGGTCGCACTTGCCATCCCGCGTCCCTAGGTCGCCCCGCCTGTCCGCTGGGCACCGCAGTGCAGCCGCTTGTCCCTGCCCCCTCCCTCCGCGGCCCAATCGCCTTCCGGGCCTCGCTGCCCTGCCCCCCCCCACCCAGGGCTTCGCAGGTCCAGTGCCTGGAACTGCAGAGGAAGGTGGGGGCCTCCGGAGGTCCGGGGGAGAGAGATGTCAAGACTTGGATCCCCTAAGGGGGAAACTTCAGAGTCTCTATTGGCATCGCGTGTTGCAAAGGAGGAAACTATGGAGGGGCAAGGTTGGAGGGAGTGTGCGGAGATGCACCAAGGGTCACAGAGCTGGGGGAGGGAGAAGGGGACCTAATCACCTCCTTATGCTGAGCCCCTTCCTACCTACCATTAATAATACTGCAAAAAAATACCTGTTATTGTAAGTTTATGTGCCTAGGCAAAGCCCATGCAAAATACCTAGCGCGTTTCTCAACGCATAGTATGTGCTCAATAAATCCAGAATATAATTAACTATTATTTCATGATACCTAATTCTCCACCAACCCTAGTAGTTGTGGTAGTCTATGCATTTTTCTTGAGAGAGGGAGGAACAGGATCGCAGCCAAGAAGCTTCCTCGTACATGGACACACAGTCTTTCAGAGGCAGAACCTGTACTTGGCCCAGGCTCAGGAACTGTCATCTGCCTCTTAGAGGCAGAGGAAGATAAAATGACCATTTTGGGTCATCTGCCAAATCCAGTGGTTCCTGGCTGAAGGGTGTGTATCCAGGGGAGTGACCTCCAAACAGGCGATGGGTCCTTCCTTCTGAGTGAATTGGAGGTACTTTCACCTTGACACTTCTGCCCCACCCTGAAAAGTCAGCTTCATTCTGAGACTTTGAACTGCCCCATGCTCCCCCCATTCAAGTCCTCTGCTCCTCTGACTATTGCCCTTGAACTCAGCTCTTTTGCTCAGAGGCCAGCCCCCACTTCCCACTTTTCCTCCAGTCTCCCTTCCCATCTACCCCAGCTTATCCAGGCCTGACACCCACAATGGCCCTTCAGGTTTCATATCTATTTGTCTAGGGAGAAGGGAGGGGGCTTAATGGGTGGGAGAGGTGAGGATTTGGGGGTGGCTCACTGGAAGAAAAGCCCTCTGGTTTTTTACCAGGTCCCACAGCCTGCCCTCAACTCAACACCAAATCCCACCCTCAAACCCCTCTAATCTGTCTGTCCCTCTGCTACGGAGACAAGGGGAGGGTACCAGAGGCTTGAGCAGGAAGGGTGAGAGCAGAATTCCAGGTCCAGTAGACCCCTAGGCCTTCCCTCCTTCCGCCCACAGGTTCCTTGGGAATCTGTCCCCTTCTGTCCATCTGTCTAGCCACCTAGTGAGTAGGGAAGATCTAAGTGGGTGGTGGTCCAGGGTCCATGATTTGGGGATGGAGACCTTGCTTTGAGGTTAGGATCGCGCTGATGGGGGAGAAGTGGGGAGGGTCTTCAGCAGGGAGGGGAAGAAGAAGGTTGGGGTCGGAGGAGATAGGTTCAGCCCTGGGCGGGGCCAGAGTCAGAACTGAGGAGGGGGGGTCTCACCGTTGCAGTACTGCAGCAGCGAAGATGTGTCGTAGAGACCGCAGAAAGCCGGGCCGCGCTCCGCCATCGCCCCGCCACAGCCACCGCCGGCCCCCCCTGCCCCAGCCCGGGCCCGGTCCCCCCCCCAGGCCCTGCCTCCCGTTGCCATAGCAACGCCCTTCGTTCCAGCATCCCCAGCTCGGCCCACCCAGCATCAGGCGGCCGGCGCCGAGCCTGGCACCGGGGTCATCCCCCAGGATGCGCAGAGAGAGGGGTCGGGACACCCTCTGCCAGTCCCTCCAACACAATCTTCAGGCCAGGATTGGCTGCGTCCGGGTCCCCCTCGGTACTGTCTGGTCACGCCCACAAACGGAATGTATTCTCTCTAGACCCCTTCCTCGCCTTGTTGGAGCCAATGAGAGCCTGTCGCGCAGGTTCTTCCACCAATAGGAATGCAGACATATCGGAGGGGTGCAGGGCCTTCCCTGCTTTTTAGCCTGAAGCGTAGCCCCTACCTCTGGGAGGAGGATGGGGTGGAAGAAGACACTGCCCCATCCCCAAAAATCATCTCCTCAATCTTTTATGGAATTTCCCAGAAGCCCTCTCGAATGACCAGGGCCTGACATTAGAATTTCAAATCCACCCAGGTATCCACTAGCCCCGCCCTGGAACTCTTTCTAGCTGGGTCCTTGTTTATTAGCTGTAGACCCACCCTCAGGACTCTTAGCTCCGCCCACAGAATCTTGTAGGAGTCCAAGTTCTATTCCCGCCCCCCAGAGCAATTAGTACCGCCCCCTGAACTGATGGATTTGAATACTCAGCTCAGGGACCTTGCCCACACTTTAGTACAGGGTTAGCTCCGCCCTCGGATTTTAGAACCCTCCTCCCAAGTTTCTTAGCTCCTCCCTAACCTGCCCTTCCCCTGACTCCTCCGCAGCCACAGGCTCTTAGTTCCGCCCCTAGAGCCGCAGTCTCCCACAACCGCTTTATCCAGTCCAGGTTTTGATATAGGCCCAGTTGTGAAGCCTGGACCAGCTGGCGGTGTCAGTAGGAGCTGGCTCGGAAGTTGGGGGGGAAAGAGGAGGGTGGAAAACCCGAGGATGGATTTAAAGAATACGGGATCGCCTTCTCCAAGTCACTATTGAGGGTCGATACGTCATGATGTCCCAGACCTTGTTTGGGTAGGGGAAGGGAGGCAAAGATCTCTTTCCGATCTTTGCCTCTGACCACAAAAGCAGAAAAGTGGAAACTTTGGAACCAGACTGAGCTGAGCTTGAATGCCGACTCCCTCACTTTCTGCATCTGGGAAGTGAGAGTTCATAAGCGCAACTACCTCTTTCATCCATCGGAAAATGTTGACTGAGAGCATACTACGCGCCAAGCTCTGCCCTAGGTGCTGAAATTTCTGGGGTGACCAAGAATGACCAAGTAAACCTCAGCCTTATAGATCTTGCGGTTTAATGGATGAGATAAACCACCATACATAAAATAAATAATAATAGCTAACATTTACTGAGCACTTCCTTTGTGCCAAGCACTCAATTATGCTCACCCCAAGTCTTACTTTCCTCTTCATTTCACACATGAAGAAACAAGCCCAGAGCTGGTAAAATCATTTCCAGTCCTGATAATCACTATGAAAATGGTAAGGATGGGTGGGTGAGGTTCATTTACAACCCGTGGAGCCAGGGACATTCTCTCTGAGAAGTGACATTTGAACTGAGACACCAATGACAAAAAGAAAGCTATTTTTGCCTAGAGCTGATAGGGAACGCTGTCCAGGTAGAAGAAACAGCAAGTACAAAGGTCCCAGGGTAGGTTTGAGTTTGGTATATTCCTGGGGCAACAAAAAGGCTGGTGTGAGGCGGAGCTGTTGAGAGAGAAGACATGGGAGGGTATGAGTGAGGTTAAGGAGGTGATGGCTTTTTCAGATGTTCTGGGCTTTGAAGGCTTGGGAAAAGTTTGCAGGTTGTTACTGTATCTTCCATGAGCCGCACTGAGGCCACAGATATACAGTACACACTAGTACGGTGTGTAGCAAAGTAAGCAACCTGTATTGATTTGTCATCTACTATGTGAGGCATAGAGATGAATCATAGATTCACACGGGTGACCCAAACAGACATGGGCCATTTTTATTCTATGATTTACAGCCAGTCGTTTTACCGATAGAAACAAAATAGAAGCTAGGTGCCAGTGGCTCATGACTATAAACCTAGCTACTTGGGAGGCAGAGCTCAGGAGGCTCAAGGGACCCTATCTGGAAAATACCCAACACAAAAAGAAGTTGGCAGAGTGGTTGAAGTGGTAGAGTGTCTGCCTAGTAAGTGCGAGGTCCTGAGTTCAAACTTCAGTACTGCCAAACAAATAAGAAAAACCTCCCAGAAACTCAGGTTTCCTGCCTCCCAGACTCCAGCTTCTTTCACTCACCAGCTCCATGAGCTCGGACTATAGAAGTCAGATTGCTTCCTACAAAACAGAAGCAGTTGTATTGTATTAAGAGCTGATGCCCCATTACTGAGGTGTCCCAGAGGACTGGGGGAGCCCAGGCGAGTTCTGCTCCTGGGGCTCCATGTGGTGAGAGAGGGGAGTAAAGCTGGGACCAAAAAGACTTTAGGGTGGTGGGATGCAGGGGGCAGAGGAGACAGCATACAAAGGTAAGTCACACTAGTGCTTGTCCTCAAATGCAGAGGCCAGGCACTGTCAGGGTCCATGTGAACAAAGTTACCTTGGTTCAGTGGCCTGGCGTTATCTGAGTGCCCACTTCCCAGGGGAGAAGAACACGTTGAATGAGCTCATGCTTGTGAAGAGTTCAGCACTGTGGCTTTGGTACAGTTAATGGAGCTCATTTTATTACAAGTGCTTTCGCAGGGAGATGTCAAGGGCCAGGAAGAACAAAAATGGGAGGGGGTCCTGTGCTGTGAGAGGGGGTGGGGTAGGCAGAGCTCACAGTCTGTTTTTTTTTCCCCTGCCTACTGTTGGGAACACAGCAGTGACTGAGACAGCCCAAGTTCTGCCCTCACAAAGGCTCTCGGGCCAATGTAGGAGAGAAGTGTTAGGTGATGACTAATTTGGAGACAGCCTTTGAAAGACTTGATAAAAAAAATGGAGCCAGGTGGGTGGCTCAAGCCTGTAATCCTAGGTGCTTAGGAGGCAGAGAGCTGGAGGATGGAGTTTGAGGTTTGAGGCCAGCCTGGGCAAATAGTTCGTGAAATTCTAAAAAAAAAAAAAAAAAAAAATCCCACCTGGGTGCCTGTGGTTCACACCTGTGAATCACACTAGCTACTCAGGAGGCAGAGATTAGGAGGACTGAGGTTCAAAGCCAGCACAGACAAACAGTTCTTGAGACCCTATCTTGAAAAAACCCTTCATGGAAAAGGGCTGGTGGAGTGGCTCAAGGTGAAGGCCCTAAATTCAAACCCCAGTACGGCAAAAAAAAAGAAAAAAGAAAGAAAAATTCCCCAAAGGGTTGGCAGAGTGTCTGAAGTGGTAGAGCCCCTGCCTAGCAAGCATGAGGCCCTGAGTTCAAGCCCCAGTGCCACAAAAAAAAAAAAAGGCAGGCAATCCAGGCAGAGAAAGCTGCTAGGACAAAGGCTGGGGGGATGGTAGGAAGAGTTTTGGGTTAGAAACGCTGGGAGATGAGGCTGGAAAGCTCAGTAAAGGCCTTGAAAGCTAGAGAGAGCAGCCCAAGCTTTCTCCTGAGGGCACTGGGGGAGCCACAGCAGATTCTCAGCAGGGAAGGGAAAGGAGCAAGTTTGTGCTTTAGCAAGATCTAGCCATGCGAGGTGTGCTCATCCTGTAATCCTAGCTACTTAGAAAGGCTGGGAATGGGAAGATCAGGGTTTGAGATCAGTACGGGGAAAAATAGTTCGAGAGATCCCATCTCCAAAATAACCAGAGTAAAATGACCTGAAGGTGTGACTCAAGAGGGAGAGCACCTGCTTTGCAAGTGCAAAGCCCAGTCCCATCAGAAAAAAAAAAAAAGGCCTCCTTTGGGGGCGGGGTAGATGCGACCAGATTTGAGAAACCTGGAGGAAAATCTCTAGTCAAGCCCGTTGTGTTTAGGACTTTAATAATAATAACAATTATATACACTATATCTATATATCTATATATACACTTTTTTTTTCAGTGCTGGGGATGGAACTCAGGGCCTAGTGTCTGGGCAAGTGCTCTGCCACGGAGCCCCGCCCCCAGCGCCAGCCTGCAGTCTTTCATGCCAGGAAAGGGGCTTCCGCCGCCACCAGGGGGCAGTCAGGGACCCCCTTCTAGTTTGTCAGCGGCTGAGGGGGTGGGGTTGGTGTTGAGCGGCATTGGGAGGTACAGGGGGGCTAAGGCTGTCTGTAGAGCCCCAACAGAGACCCTCTGATCTTCTACCCCCATCCTGGCCTCTGGGCCCCTGGAGCCCCCACCCCACCCAGCTAGAGAATTATGTCAACATAGCCCTGCTGCCTTCTGGCCAGGACAATATTTGCCCTCAGGATCTGGGGAGGTTGCTATGGAGACCAACACCCCCCAGGCGGGGAAGAAGGTTCATGTCCAGTTGTGTCTTTGAGTGTTGACCCTTGTCCCATTGCTTCAAGTCCTTCTGTGTCTATCTGTGGGTCATCTCTTTATCTCTGTCTTTTTTTTCTCTCTGGGTACCTTCTCATTTCTGGGTCTTTGTGAGGTGTCCTGTCTCAGGTCTCTTTCTCTGTCTCTCACCCTCTCTCTCTCTCTGGGTCCCCAGTTCTGTGTTTCTGTCTTTCCAGGTCTTTGTCTCTCTCTGGGTTGCATGTCTCTTTTGATCTCCATATTTTTTTGTGTGTTTGTCTCTGCATCTTCCTGGCTGTGTCTCCTCTCTCTTTGGGTCTCTATGTCCATCTCTCTGCCTCTGTGGCCCTCTGTCTCTGTGCTGCTATCTCTATCTGTCTTGCTCTCTGGGTCTGTGTCTTTCAGGTCTTATCTCTTTTCAGTCCTGAATCTTGGGGAGGGGGGCATCTCTGCTCCTCTTTCTAGCCTCAGTTCCCATGGGGCGTCCCTTCTTCCCATCTCTCTCTGCCTCATTTCTCCTGCACCATCTGGCAGCACCCCAGGCCCCTGCCCGCTCCCCCCAAGGCTCTGCTTGGTCACACAGCCCCCTGGGGGGGAGACATAGGCCTTCCAACTTCTTTCTTACCCTGGTCACTGCTGGGGGCTGAAGGCAAGAGACAGGAGAGCCATGATCAGGGAAGATGGAGAGAGAGAGAAACAGATACTCAGAGAGAAGATCAGAGAGGCAGGATGAGACAGGACATAAGGAAAAGAGCCTGGCAGACCAGAGAAAAAGACAAATTGACCAAGTGAGCATGGGGTTAGAACAAAGAAGAAACAAAAGAGTTGGACTGAAGAGACAGGGAAAGAGAAGATGGAGTGAGAGAGATACGTGACAGAGAGGGATGGGGGAGGAAGAGAGACAAGGAGTAGAGATGCCGGGGGCTGGAGAGAAAGAGGATGCTAAATTTAGAGACAGGAAGAGCCAAGGACCATGGAGAGGGTTGAGCGCATGGGGAGCTTGATCCCCTGGGCTAGGGAGGGGCCGGGTAGCCAGGAAGGCATGGGGCTGCTTCTCTGCCTCTTGAAGTCAAAATCATGGTGCTAGAGAGAGCTTGTGTGGCCACCCTGTGGCCCTGCTGCCCCCTCCCCAGACCCTGGGAGACTATGGAGACCCAGGATGGCTGGGCTGGGCAGGAACCTGCATCCCCCTCTGGTCCTACACACACACACACACACACACACACACACACACACACACACACACACACACACACCCTGTGTTCTGCATCATTCAGGCTCACCCCAGTGTGTGTGCGTGTGTGTGTGTCTGCCTCTGTCTCTCTCTCTCTCTCTCTCTCTCTCTCTTGCTCTCTCCTCTCTCCTCTCACTTCCTGTCCTCATCTGTCTTTCTCCCCTTCCCGATCTTTCTGTGTCTCAGCTTCTTTTCCTGTCTCTCACACCACCTCAGTTCCTCCTCCCCATCTCCAGCCTCCTTCCTCCCCCTTCCCAGTGGAGTGACCCTGGGACCCTCTTGGAACTTAGGAGACTTCCTCTCAGCCCCAGCCTCTCCTCCGAGGTGCCGGGCAATCTCAGACCCCTTTGCTTCTCCACCCCAGGGACAGAGTCTTTCCCAGGACCCAGAGGGCGCCAGGAATGTGGGGAAGAGAGCAGGGAGGTCCCTGGAGACCAAGCTGGGAGGACCCCCCCCCACCCCCCAGACTTCTCTTCTTCTAGCCTCTGGTGTGAACCTCACACCACCTCTTACTCCCTGCCCCTGCTAAGGCTCTAAGCCTCAGTTTCTCCTCTGCAAAATGGGCAGAGTGGCCTCTGTCCCACTTCTGGGCCCTAGGGGAGCATGTGGTCATGAAATGCTAACAGCGTGATTAATATCACCCGAGTGGTGTATATTAAGCAGGGAAAGAAGGCGCCAAGGGCTGGGACTGGATTTTAAGTCTTCTCCCAGCCATGTACAGATGTTCCCCACATCTGTAGAAAGGGCAAAGGAAGAGCCTGGAAGTGGAGATTGTAACAATGTGTGTGGATCAGTGGTTACTGTGACCATGAGAGGGTGTGAGACTGTGGGATCACAGCATATGAGAGTGTGTCATGTGTGTGACTGAGGGATGGTGGGATCCCAGGTGTGACACATGGAGGAGTGCGTGTGACTTGTGAATGTGGGAGAGTTGTGTCTGTGTGGCCATTCTGCCGGGTGTGACTGTGAATGAAATCAACAGCTTGTGCCTTGGTGACAAGAGAGGGGCAGGATGTGACTGTGGATGCTGTGTGTATGTGAAGTGTGTGACTGTGAGAGTGCTAGTGGGTGCTGTTGTCGGACACTGTGTTAGTTGGTGAGTGTGAGGAAACACACACCTGTGTCCATGTATTTCTTTTGACAATTATTCCTTGCAACTCTGCTCTGGGCAATGCTGGGGACACCGTGGTAATAGAGATGTCCTCCTGGGCCACACAAGCCAGTGGGGGAAGACCATGTGTCTCATATGACCTTGTGTGTGTGAAGGTGTGTGTTGTTGACAATCTTACTGGGACTGTAGCACACAGTAGTTGTGCTTCTGTGTGTGTGACAAGTTCATAGCCTCAGCATGTGACTGTTACTGTGAATGACTGTCACCCTGTGGCTCTCTGGGTGTGGTTGGGGATCGTAAATTGTGAATGAAAACGTGACTCTGTGAGTAACAGTGTGTGAGATTCTGTGACTGTGCCTCTCTGTGGCTCAGCTATAGGATTGTGTGACTCTGGCTCCATGTGTAAGCAGCTGGATGGAATGGTGTGCTCTGTAACCAGGGGGCTGTGACTGTGATATTTACATACCACTACCCCCCTTTCCCACTCTCTGCCCCAGTGCTCCCCCTTCCTGTTCTCCCTTCCGCCCTGGCCCCGCCCCCTCCCACCACCCCAGGCTGCCAGCGCCTGTCACCTCTTCCAGAGCTCAGGCGAGACAGAAGAGGCAACCGGAACAGGGGCGGCAGGAGCAAGTGACCAAGAGCAGGACTGGGGACAGGTGAGGGCTCCCCGATCACAGCCAACTCCCCCTGCCCCCATCTCTCCCTCAAGACTCTGCTCAGCAGCCCCCCTACCCTCCAGCAGCCCTGGCTCATGCTGTCTCTGTTTCTTAGCCTGTGCCTTTGTCTCTTTCTGCCACTACCCAGTCTTTATCTTCGTCTCTGTCTCTCGGTGTCTCTGTCTTAATGTCTCTCACTCTCTGTTCAGCCTGTAGATTGCTTTACTTATTTATACACATCTAGTTCTTGTCCTCCCATCCTCTGTCTTTCCCACGTCTCTATCTCCTCTTTGTCTCCTGGTCCAAATTTTCGTCTCTGTTCTTTGGTCTCTTGTCCCTTGCTGTGTGTGGTTGTCTCTGAGTCTATATTTTTGTCTCACTTGTCTCAAACTCCGTTTCTGTCATTCTGGGGTTCTGAGACCCCTCTTATTTCCGCCTTTCGATGGGGATGGGGATGGGTGGGGGTTGGGGGTAAAAGAATTTTCAGGCCTCTGGGTCGCTGTTATACCCACGGTATAACACCTTTCTGGTCTCTTAAGTATTTGGATGCTGGAGCAGGGTTATCCCTGTGGACTTTACCTATCCAAAGCGGGGAAAATTTTATAAGGTCGGGCTCCTAATCTGCAATTTGAAAACCCTTTGGGTTGGGAGACTGAGAACTCAAGATAATGCGTTTCAAGCTCCCCTCCAGGCTTGGCTGACCGTTTCTACTCCTTCCTCTCCAAGGAGGTCCCCAGGTGCCCAGGAGTTTCTAGGTCTAGACTGTGGGTAACACTAACGCTTCTGCGTAGCGCAGCTCTAGGGCAACCGCCCCCTCAGCAAACACCCCTCCCATCCACTGCCGCTGCCCCAGCAACAGTTGGGGGCGGCAGAGAAGTCACTTATGGGATCTAGGCCCCACCCTCCATCCGAAGTCCCGCCCACGCACCACGCCTCTGCCCCGCCCCAATTCCTCAGGCATGGAGCCGGGGCGGGGAGGATGGGGTGCACCTCGGAGTCCACCTGTATGAGACAGGTGGGCCCAGGGGTTAGAGGCCGAGGGCGGAGGGCAGAGGTGCTGACTCTGCCCTGGGACCCTCCAGCCCCACTGCCCTGTGTGGACAGACCCTTCGCCGCCCTTATGAGGCCAAACTCTCCTCCCTTGCGGCTGCTGCTGCTGCTCTCCCTATGGGGACTGCCACTCCGGAGGGCGGAGGTGAGGACCAAGGAGACACAGCAAGCAGTCCACAGCTTGGAGGGAGGTCTGGGGACAGTTTCAAGTCTTCCCCCACCTTAAAGAGAGTTTCAAGGTTGCCCCCGCCCTCTTGCTCAGACTCGTTTTGATGGTTTCCAGTCTCCCCTTCCCCCCGCCCCGCCCCGTCGCCGCTGCAAATTCTCCTGATAAGGTTCAGCCTTAACAGATACTGCAAGTTTCAATTTTCCTAAAGTGTCCCCTAGCAAATAAATCCCTAGGCGGCTTTCTAGGCACTTGTCACCTCTAAAATTCCAAAGAGGTTTCTAGGTCACCCAAGGACTCTCGGGCAAAACGGGACAGCCCCTCCAAGTCTCTCCCAGTCGAACGAGCTGCCTGGTGCCTGGGAGCGGGGGTCGGCCTGGGGGGTCCTCCCTTCTCTCTTCTCGTAGACAGGCTCAGAGGGACAGACGACGCGGGCGCTGTATGAGCGCTGGGAGCGATACCGCCAGGAGTGCCTGGAGACTTTGGAGGCCGCGGAGCCTCCCTCAGGTGAGGAGTGGGCTTGGGGCGGACCCAAGGGTAATGGGCGGGACGTAGGGCGGGGCCAGAAGAGGCGAAATCTGGGATTGACAGGGGCTGGGTGGGGCTTGGCCTCGGTGGGAGGGGCCTGGGTCTGAGCGTGGTGGGACTGTGATAAGGAGAGTCCTGGGAAGAAGCTTGAGTTGGGCTTGCACTGAAGGGGAGGGGCTTTGAGAAGGCCCTCTTATTGGTGAGGACTTTCTTGGTAGGTGGAGCTCTGAGGATGGGTGGAGCCTTGAGGACTGATAGGAGGAGCTTGTGGCAGTGTAAGGACTGGACTCGCCCAAAGTGGGCGGGGCTACAGCAGGGGCTGTAGTGCCGCAGGCAGAGCAGAGGTGGACCCTATGCCCAGTGGTTTCACTCTGCACCTGGGCCCCTGCTTACCCCTCAGGCCTCGCCTGTAATGGGTCCTTCGACATGTACGTCTGCTGGGACTCCACTGCACCCAACGCCACCGCACGTGCGTCCTGCCCCTGGTACCTGCCCTGGCACCACCATGGTGAGGCAGTCATCTACATCCCCTCCTAATCCTTTCTGTCCTCTGCCCCTTTCTGTGAGGCCAGATGTCACTTTATGTCTGTCTAACCTGGCTCTCTCATATAGTACCCCTACCGTGTCTCCTTATCTCTCTAAGAACCAGGAAGTTTTAAAATTTTTTCTCTTTCCTTCCTGCCTTCCTCCCTCCCTTTTGTTTTCTTTCTTTCTTTTTTGGTGGTACTTGGGTTTAAACTCAGGGACTTGAGCGTACCACTTGAGCTACCCCCAGTCCTCTTTTTTTTGATTACACAGTGTCTCCCTATATTATCCAGACTGTCGTAGAACTGGAGATCTTCTTACCACTCAGCCTCCTAAGAATTCTTTTTCTTGTGTGTGGGACTGGGGTTTGAACTCAGGCCCTCATGCTTGCTAGGCAGGTGCTTTACCACTTGGGCTACTTCACCAGCCTGCCTCAGTCTCCTGAGTGCTATGACTACAGAGAGGTGCCATGTCCCAGCTTTCTTTCTGAATCTGTCCATTTTGGGACATCTTGGTCTAACTAGGTATAACTTCAGGTAGTTTATTTGATTTCTGTATGCCTCAATTTCCCTACCTGTAAAATAGAGTAATGATGGTACCACTTTCATTACAAATATTAAATTGATATGTGTAAATGTCATTGTAATCACTTTGACATCTGTTTTTCTCCCCCTTTCTCTCACTGTCATTCTCACTACACAGTGTGTGTTCATATCTCTTTTTCCCGGTGCCTCTAATCGCTTCCCTTTTTCTCCCACAGTGGCTTCAGGCTTCGTTCTCCGGCAGTGTGGCAGTGATGGCCAGTGGGGACCTTGGAGAGACCATACTCAGTGTGAGAATCCAGAGAAGAATGGGGCCTTTCAGGTAAGGAGAGGTGAAGGATTCAGCTGTGGACTGATGGAGGCAGCAGCCTCCAGCCAAACCTGAAACCCCCTATGCTGTTTAGGACTCTGGGTTGTAAGTAATAGACACCCTAGTCAGACTTGCTTCTAGGAGAAAAGGAAAAATGTATTGGCTTCTGTAATTAAATAGCACAGTGTAAGAAAGCAGCTTCACATCCAGCAAGATCTAGGGGCTCAAATGATGTGTGTGTAGGGAATCTCTCACCATATCAAGCCTGTTTTTCTCTGTGCTGGTTTCATCTTTTCTGTGGGGTAGAAAAGAAGGCCCTCATTAGCACTTGACTCACATCCTACCAACCAAACAACACCATAAGAAGACCAGGCTTCTTTTACAGTAACTCCAGCATCATAGAGCACTTGCTTTGCAAGTGGGATTCCCTGAGTTCAAACCCCAGTCCCACCAAAACAAAATAAAATAAAAAACCAATAACTGCAGCATCATTTCCTAAAACTATCACTGACCTGGCTTGGGTCACATACCCTCCCAAAACTGTCAGAATGCTTGGATTGGCTGGTAACATTCCCAGCCTCACTCAAAAGTAGGAAGCATTATATATATATATATATATATATTGGGGTGCTGAGCAGGAACAAAGAGGAAAGGAGAAATTTCCCCCGTAGTAAAATTGGGGAGGGTGTCTTGGAAAAGCCACCTCTTGTTCCCTTGTCTTCCTTGTCCCCCACCAGGATCAGAGGCTGATCTTGGAGTGGCTGCAGGTCGTGTACACCATTGGCTACTCCCTGTCCCTTGCCACACTGCTGCTAGCGCTGCTCATCTTGAGTTTCTTCAGGTGGGACCTCCAGCAATGAGTGACGGTGGCAAAAGCATTTGCCTGTTTGCTCAGGAAGATGGGGTATCAAAGCCAGTCCCTGGTGGCTCACGCCAGTAATCCTAGCTACTTGGGAGGCAGGGATTGGGAGGATAGTGGTTCGAGGCCGGCTCAGAGAAGTAGATCACGAAACCATTCTCCAAAATAACCAGACTGGAGGTGTGGCTTAAGCAGTAGAGTACCTGCTCTGCAAGTGCAAAGCCCAGAGTTCAAATCCCCTGTGGCTCTATGGGAAGGGCTGGCGGGTGGCTAAAGGGGCTCTGTGTGTCTAAGGCCAGCTCTTCAGAGGTCCCTCGACAGCCTTCCAAATCCCCCAGGCGGCTGCGCTGCACCCGTAATTATATCCACATGAACCTCTTCACTTCCTTCATGCTGCGGGCGGCAGCCATCCTCACGCGAGACCGCCTGCTCTCTGCACCAGGCCCCTACCCTGGGGAGCAGACACGCACACCATGGAACCAGGTGCGTACCATCCTTATCCTTCTGTTCCTCCAAACGAGAGTCATCCTCTTCTGGAGGGACCAGGAAGGTTCCGTGCGTTTCCAACCTCCAACACATCAACGCTTTCTCTCTGGACCCCTCCAAATTACATGTGGAGAAGGACAATTCAGCCTCCTCATTGACCTCTCCCACGCGTTTGCCCCCTTACTGGAATTTTCCATTCCCTCTCCATCATTATCTCACCCTTCATTGGGATTTTCCACCAACGAGAGACTCCGCCCACCATAGGTGAGGCTGATGGAGGGGAGAAACTGATTTGGAAGGTACCAATTTGTTACTGGGAGGAGGGGGACTAGAAGCGGGAGGCGAGGGAGGTAAGTTGGGCCATACCAATTATTACGATATGGGGTGGGAGAGTCCGCAAGTCCATAAACAGGCAGAGAGTTCAGTTCTTAGGAGCTAAGGTGCCAGAGGCCATATTCCAGGGGTCTGCAGGGGACGGTGATGATAAAATGAAAGATGCCATCTGTTAAAGGGGTCGTATAGGGAAAAAAAGGGTTGAGAGGAACAAACCAGAGTGGTTGACAAGAGATGGGGGTGGAAGAGTGCCCCGGTGTGGAAAGATTTGGGGACTTCTCGGTCGTCCAGACTCCCACTGCCCTTGTCTGACTGCTCCCTAGGCCCTAGCCGCCTGTCGCACCGCTCAGATCGTGACCCAGTACTGCGTGGGTGCCAACTACACGTGGCTGCTGGTGGAGGGCGTGTACCTGCACCGTCTGCTGGTGCTCGTGGGAGGCTCGGAGGACGGTCACTTCCATTGCTACCTGCTCCTCGGCTGGGGTGAGCCCCGACTCCGTCTCCCCGCCCATCCCAGCGCGCCTCGGCTCCCGATTGCCCAGCTGGTCTACCTCAGGGGGGTCTCCTCCCCTCTCCAGGCTTCTGCCTCCCCACCCCGGCAGAAGAATTCCGCGGGACTTGGGCCTGGCGGGGCCCGTGCGCGCGCTGACAGCTGCGGCGGGGTGGGGGGCGGGGGTCGGGGTCTGCACAGGGGCCCCCGCGCTCTTCGTCATTCCCTGGGTGATCGTCAGGTACCTGTACGAGAACACACAGTGAGTTGCAGGGGCTGGGGCGGGACCTGGGAGGTGGGCGGAGCTTTGAGGGACGTGGGAGGTGGAAACATGGTGATGTGGGCGGAGTCTAAAGTACTGAAAAGTTGGGACGGGCACGGGGTGGGGCCTTAAAGCAATGGGCGGAGCTTTAAAGTAATGTGGGTGGAGCCTAAGATGGGCGTGGTCTGGCGGGTGAACCTGCGGGGTCCGGGTGTGTCTAGGATTTTTCTGTCTCAGTTCTACCCTGACTCCCCCAGGTGCTGGGAGCGCAATGATGTCAAGGCCATTTGGTGGATCATACGCACCCCCATCCTAATAACCATCTTGGTATGGCCAGTCCCTCATCTGGCAGGCTGTGCTCAGGGATTTCCCGTTCTGGGATGTGGGGCGCCACCTCCTGCCCCCTCCCCAGAATGGGGTGGCGTCTGGCTCAGCCTCTTTCTCCTCGCAGATTAATTTCCTCATTTTTATGCGCATTCTTGGCATCCTTGTGTCCAAGCTGAGGACTCGGCAGATGCGCTGCCCCGATTACCGACTGAGGTGAGGGCCGGCGCGGGCCAGAGTGGAGGGGGCCAGCGAGAGATGGGAGGCCTAGGGACCACTGTCGCTTTTGTCCCCAGGCTGGCTCGCTCCACACTGACGCTGGTGCCCCTGTTGGGCGTCCATGAGGTGGTGTTTGCTCCAGTGACCGAGGAACAGGCACAGGGCGCGCTGCGCTTTACTAAGCTTGGCTTTGAGATCTTCCTACGTTCCTTCCAGGTGCTCAGGCAGGGTGCCTGGGGTCCTCTTCCCCAAGGGGCACGGTCATCCCCTGGCGCAGCCATTCATTAATGGGTACACTAAATACTGAGCTAAGGCTGTCCTGGGCTGGGGGAAGCAGCAGGGACCCAGGCAGGCGACCTGGTGGTCCCAGCATTACTGCCTCCTAGTGAGAAGCAAGGACTTTGGGGCCAAATTCAAGTTGAAGCAGTTCCCAGCTGTGTAGGCGTCACTGGGATGGGGGAGGGGCGGGGAGAGAATGTCTAGGGTAAGGCAAGTGAGATGCCTAGGTGTAGAATTTAAGGAGGTACTCATTCCAAAACCCAAGGCAGATGTTGCCCTTGCTTGCCTTACTCTAGTCCCCTTGCTTCACCTCACTGGGCCTCAGTCTTCTCATCTCTACAGTGGGGACAATACCAATCTCACCTCACAAGGCTGTTCTTTCATTAACTTCAGCAAAAAAAAAAAAAAATTATGGTGCACTTACATGTACTAAGCTCTCTTCCAGGGTTATCATGGAGATATGGCCAAGAACGAAATGGTTCCTACTCTCTAGTGGGAGAGACACACACCAAACACACTATATATAAGTAAAATGGACAGAATGTTAGGTGGGTAGATGTGCATGGGGATGGGGCAAGGAAAGAGAGATGAAGACTATCCAAGGAATGATGGGGTTACTTATTCTAGACAGGGCGTCAGGGAAGGCCTCCCTGAGAAGGATACATTGGAACAGAGGCATGGAGAAGGGTAAGGGACAGTCAGGCAGATATTTGGGGGAATGTTCTAGAAGCAGAAACTCTCCTGAGGCAGGAGAGTAGAGGCCAGGGTGCTTGAAGCTTAGGACTCAGAGATGGGGAGAGGGAGATGAGGACAGAGACATGAGGGGTCTCACAGGCCAAATCCCAGAGGCAAACCTCAATTTGGGTTTTCCTCTCCTGGAAGAAGAGGGACATGTGTTGAGTTAGATTTTAACAGGATTGTGGAAAAATTAAGTAATACCTTTTTTTTTTTTGAGACAGGGTCATCCTTACATAGCCCAGGTTGGCCTCCAACTTGTGATCCTCCTGCCTCAGCCTCCTGAGAGCTGGGATTATAAGTGTTCACCACCATGTTTTGGCTGAGATAAGTAATACCTTAATAATAGCACATATTCATAATTGGTTTTAAAATTTATCAACTTATGAGTTATAAAGTAGAAAACTTCTTTCTTTCCTTCTTCCTTCCTTCCTCCCTCCCTCTTTCTCTTTCTTTTTAAAAAATATCTTTTATTCATATGTGCATACAATGTTTGGGTCATTTCTCCTCCCTACCCCCACCCCCTCCCTTTCTCTTTCTTTCTTCCTTCCTTCCTTTTCTTTCTTTCTTTCATCTTTTTTTTATTTCTGTGCTGGGAATTGAACCAAGGCCTCTTTCACTGAGCTACACCCTAATTCCCTATTTATCAATTGATTGATTGATTGATGTGACAGGGTATATGTAGCCCAGGCTGGCCTGGAATTCATGATCTTCTTGCCTCAGCCTCCTGAGTGCTGGGATTACAGGCATGCACTGTTACTGGGCCTGGCTCCATTTTATATTTATTTAAATTTACATATATAGAACATGTATACATTTATAGAAACATTAACTATAATATATTTATATGAAGGGTAGATAATAATGAGTGATAAGTCTTAGGAAAAGGTTTATATTATATGCCAGGCACTACAGCTTCTTTCATTTTAAAAACACTCCAATTTTTACATCAACCCCTGGATAGTTCATTTTCCAGATGAACAAGGGCTGGCAAAGTGGCTCAAGTGGTACAGCACCTGCCTAGCAAGTAGGAGATCCTGAGTTCAAACCCCAGTATGGCCAAAAAAAAAAAAAGCAAAAAAAAAGTGAATAAATATATAACAATCCAGATGGAGAAACTGAGGCACAGAGGGGTTAAGCAGCTTGCCCAAAGGGTGAGAGGTAGGGAAGCGTTTCCATACCCAGGCCACCTGCCTCCAGGTCCTCTGTCCTTAGGCCCCTGGTGCCACCCTACTGGTTACGGCAGCAGGGGAGCTGGGAGCCAGTGAGCAGGTGACCCAGTGTCGTCTAGGACCCTGATGGAGACGTTGGGGCTTGGCAAGGGTTGGAGCTCATGAAGGGGCGGTCATGATGCTGTTCCCACCCGCGATCTGACTGCACATCCCCCTTTCTGGCCCCAGGGCTTCCTGGTCAGCGTCCTCTACTGCTTCGTCAACAAGGAGGTAGGGAGAGGCCCGCCCGCGCCCCCTGGCGGCCGCGCGGGGAACGGCGCCGCCGCTGAGCCCCTGCCTTGCAGGTGCAGTCGGAGATCCGCCGCGGCTGGCACCACCGCCGCCTGCGCCGCAGCCTCAGCGAGGAGTCGCGCCAGCCCCCGGAGCACGCCTCCCGAGCCGGGCCCCCGAGCTGTGTCCCCGGCGAGGTCCCCATCGGCTGCGCCCTGACCTCGGGGGCGCTGCCAGGGCGTGGGGGTGAGGGCAGCCGGGTCTTGGAAAGTTACTGCTAGGTAACGGGAATCCCGCGTCTTTACTGAACACGTATTTATTGAGTGCCTACTGTGTGCCAGCCCTGGTGGGGGACGCTGGGGAAATGGGGGAGAAGGAAACAGAAGACGAGGTCCCTGCCTTTGTGGAGATCACAAGTGAGGAAGCTGACCTTGAACACCCAGTTAAGGAGTTTAGAAGGGACCCAAGGACTGTGCTGGGAGGTGACATTTTAAGCCATGACTTGAAAGAGGTGAAAGAGATAATTTTGAGAGTTGGAGGACAAGGTTCCAGACAGAAGGAACAGCATGTGCAAAGGTCCTGGGACAGAAAGGCCCTTGACTGTGGCTTGAGAACAGAGAGGAGCCCACGTAGATGGAAAGGGACAAGTTACAGCCTGGGAAAGGGAAAGAGAAGTGGGCAGGGGTGCAGGAGTTGGGACTTCACTCCAGATGCACTGAGATTTTAGCAGGAGCTTCTTGTGTCTCCTGGGCTGTGTTTTAAGTAATCCCTTTGTCTTCCCTGTAGGGGAACAGATTATCAGGGGGAGGGATGGGAGATGGGAGCCTAGTGAGGTGGGGACTACAGATTGCAGATGATGGTGTGGGACCAGGATGGAGGCCTCAGAGGGGTGGGAAGCAGTTGGACTCTGGAGCTGTTTCAAAGGTAGCAAAGTCGTGAGGAAAAACCAAGGAAGGGCCCAAGGCTTGGGATGGAGGAGAATGATGGGGAAATGGGGTTCAGGCAGGGAGAACTAGCAATTTGGATGTGGTAGGCTGGCAAGGCCTGTGGGAGACCCAAGGAGGGGGCTGGAGGGGCTGGAGGAAATGACAGCAGGACCCAGAATGTGAGAGGCCCTGGAGCATAACAAGATGGAGAACTAGGGGGGAAGCCAACAGCCTCATCGACTAAACCACTTGCACACATTCTGAAGTCACTGTTAGTGCCTGGATGCTGTATCTTTCCTGGAGTCCCCAGCTCTCTAGACAGATGTGACCCCCAGCTGAACTCAGAGCCTTTTCAAGCTTGTGGCCCTGATGGACAACACCTCCCCCTCCCCCAATTTGGGCTCTGGTGGTGTGGGGGGACTTAGGGTAAGACCCTGCTAAATAAAGCATGAGAAACAGTTGATTTTCTTTCCTTCTGTGGTAGGCCAGGCCTTAGGGGGAAATGAGTGAAGTGGGCCGTGTGGCCAGGTGGGGGTCTGTAGAGGCATTGCTCATGTGTTGCCACAAGAAAGCATGGACAATATGCCACCACTTTCCTCCCTATTGGGAACATGACATGCTATTTCCTGATACTGAACTATTCAAGACATATGCAGGCTGCAGAGAGGCTCCAGTGGTAGAGCGCCTGCCTAGCAAGCCTGAGGCCCAGAGTTCAAACCCCAGTACTGCCAAAAAATAAATAAAATCAAGACACATACAAATCAAAATTTTAGATGTGTGTGTGCGCGTCACAGTTTTTGAGAGCTGCTTCCTTGGTCCTTTTTTTGGCAGGAGTAGGATTTGAAGTCAGGGCCTCACACTCTGCCAGTGGAGCTGCTTCCTTAGAAAGGCAGTATAGAAAAAGCAAAGCGGGAAAACAGTCTTAGTTTGTATTTTCATTGGGCTGCTTTTGTTTCGTGGCACTGGGGTTTGAACTCCAGGCCTCACTCTTGCTAGGCTTGCTGCTAGGTAGATACTCTACCACTTGAGCGCCTCTGCTCTTTTTTTTTTTTTTTTTGGAGCCAGGAGCCAGGGTCTATGTACCACAGGCTGGCCTCAAATTCATGATCCTCCTGCCTCAGCCTCCTGAGTGCTGGGATTATAGATGTGTACCACCACACCCAATTTTAAGTTCTCTGTACCAGTTTGCACTACTGAAAAATGGGCACAATGGTACTTGCATGTTAGGGTTGCCTGAGAGTTCATTAAGGTGGTCCTAGACACTGCCTGATGCATGGCCAACACTAGTCCTGCAACCTCTGCTTTGACTTTCAGCCCTGAAGGAGAAGATGGAGTAGAAAGCATTTGAACCGGGCCTTCTGTCATCCACCTGTCATCCCAGCACTCAGAAGACTGAGGTAGGAGGATCATGAATTTGAGACCAGTCTGGACTACACAGTGAAACTCTGTCTCAAAACAAAACCACCAAAAAAAAAAAAGACGAAAAAAAAGCATCTGGCCAGCAGGATGGGTTGAGATGAAGTCAGTCTGATGCCAAGCAGGACTGGTTTCTGGTGCCCATCTGCAAGGCAGGCAAAGCAATTCTCATTTCTTGGAGTCATGAGATGACAACCAGAGGAGCACCACTGCCCTCACTGTGTGGATTTGGGTGCTGTAGCTCCACCTGCTTGATGACAGTGCAGACTGATCCTGGGCCTAGGTGCCTGGGCTGGATGCAGCTTCACTGTTTTCTAGCTGAGTGACCCCGAGCAAGTCACTTGGCCTCAACTGTTACCTGTAAAATGATACAGTGCTAGTATTCACCCAAGGAGGGTTGCAAGGAACACCATAATGCACATCTTTACTGACCTTGCATGCTAGGCCTCTCTGCTCCAGGTCACCAGCTGTGCCACAGGGGCCTTACAGGCTAACTCAGGCTGTGCCTTGTACAGCTCAAAAGTGCAGCTGAGCCCGGGCATGGTAGTGCACACCTATAATTGCCGCTATGGGAAGTGGAGGCAGGAGTATTTGGAGTTCAAGGCCAGTCTGGGTTATATAGCAAGATCCGGTCTCAAAAAATAAAATACAGCCAGGTGCTGGTGGCTCATGCCTGTATCCTAGTTACTCAGAATGCAGAAATCAGGAGGATCGAGGTTCAAAGCCAATCTGGGCAAATAGTTCACAAGATCCTATCTTTAAAAAACCCATCACAAAAAAGGGTTGGTGGAGTGGCTCAAGGTGTAGGCTCTGAGTTCAAACCCCAGTACTGCAAAAATAAATAAAATAAAATACAGGACTGGAGGTCTTCCACACAAGCGGAAGAATGCCTGCCTTGCAATTATGAAGCCCTAAATTCAAACCCCAATTCTACCGGGGGGAGTGGGGGAACCAAAATACAAACAAAAGGGTTGGGGGGCTTTCTTGAAGTGGTAGAGGGCTTGCCTAGCGTGCTTGAGGCCCTGGGTTCAATCTCCATTAACACACATACACAGAGTACAGCTGAACTTCTCATTTAATCTGACCTCAGGTCTGTGAAGTCCTTCACCCTTGTGGCATTTGGTCCTCTCTGGAGAACAGGGACAGAGGGACACAGGCAGAGGCAGAACAGAAACATGGCTGGAAAACATACTCCATGTACACAGTAGAGCAAGACAAGTTATCTTCCTTAATCCCTCTAAACAGGTTCTGTCTCCTTTTCCTCCCCCCATCTTCAAAGTCTGTCAGAAAATTCTTCTCGGGGGAATTAGGGTACAATATAAGGGGGAGCAGAGCCCAAGGTTAAAGCCACAGGTCAAGAACAAGGTGGGTTTGAATCACAGCTTCACTTCCTGGCTGATGCCTCCAGGAAGGGGTATCACCTCTCTCTGCCTTTCTGGAAAATGTAGGTATACATCACAGTGTGAACCTCAGACTTGTAGGAGGGCATCTGACTGGTGTGGAGGCACCCTAACAGTGTGGCCACAGTCACTATCTGGGCAATGACTGCTGTAAGGGTGTCTCTACCCCCTGTCTGGTCTGTGAGGGTGGGTTGGGGACTCTTGGGCATGGGTATGTCCCCAGCACTGCAACACAGGGCTAGGAACAGAGGCACGCTGGGATGTCTTCTGATGGACCAAATGGAAAAAAGACTGCAAGAAAAACTTTTTTTTTTTTTGTGGGACTGGAGTTTGAACTCAGGGCTTCACAATCACAAAGCAGGTGCTCTATCACTTGAGCCACTCCTCCAACCCTTGACGGGAATTTTGAGCAAGGCCAACTAGTTAAGGTTATTCCTATCTACCTGTCCGCTCCATGGCTGGAGAAGTGACGCCTGGGTGGCGTGATGTGTCTCTTCACCTGCCAGAGGCCCTGGTCACAGCTCTCAGCCCCACACCAATTATCCCCCCACCTCGTCTGCTCCATTCCCAAGGCCCCAGGAACAGACAAATGCCACTACAGTTTTTTTTTTTTTAAAAACACAGGAGTTTATTATTCCCATTACAAAGGGCAGATCTTGTCATGGGGGAAGAAAGCTCTGACAGCCGGAAGGAGTGCCTACTTGCCGGCGATGAGCGGGTTCCTCAGGACCACAATGACCGAGTCCCCGCGTAGGAACATCTTAGAGATGTAACGGTCCTTGTTGACTGGCTTGGACTTCTTCTTCCCCTTGCCGCTTTTGGGGACCTCTGTCCACATCTCCTTCACATTCTCTAGCACCATGTTGCAATGCCTGGTGGGGGAGCAGGTGGAAGGGAGCACAAGTTAGGGACAAGCCTTCTGAGCACCCCTTCTCTGCCCTGCAGAGCAGGGAGCACACTGTGGAGAAGGGGCGCCCAGTGCTATCTATGCATATTCTTAGGCTAATGCTTGTACAAAGGACAGCCCCACCCCCATGCCTCAGTTTCCTCCTCTAAAATGGAAACAATCAGGGTACCTTTCTTAGAGGGCTGCTGCAAGATTAATTCAAGGGACACAGCATTTCTGTAAAGCATGTAGAACAGAGCCTAAGACAGAGTAAAGGCAAACAGCAGGGTCCCATTTGTGTCATTAACTCTAAGCACTCTTGGAGGCAGCAGCAGAGATGCACCAGAGACTCTGGGATGCTGAGGCCTGAGATTATGTACCTGACATGTGCATGATAAAAAAATGTTCATGGAATACAAACTACACACATTGCTTTAAACACAACAGACACCCCTGCTGTTAGGGGAAGGCATTGTAGTCAGGGGAGAACAAAAAACAAGTAAAGGGTCTGTATGCTGTCAGATGCTGTTGCTGTGAAGCCAGTTGGGGTGAGGCTCTGTGACAGCACTTGCCCAGCATGCACATGGTCCAGGATTGTATATGGGTCCCCCACCAAGAATAGGGAAGGGGAGAAGAGCTCATGTACCACCTGCTCACTTATACAATGGGCATCCCTAGAAGATTCTTAAGACCGTGATGGCCCAGGCAAATTGGGGATGGGCCTGAAAATCTTTGTGTTAGATTATTATTTCCGTTTTGGGAGTCATGTGAACATATTACCAATTCAGGAAAAAAGTTAAATAAACTACCACACCAATATGGAGACATTCCCAAGTTATGCCAAGATCCTGGTGGGGGTGTAGCTCCATGACAGAGTGCTTGGCTAGCATGTGCAAAGCCCTGGGTTCCATCCCCAGCACCACAAAAAGCAAACAAACAGTATAAAATAGCCACAGTCTGAATTTGTGTGGTGCTTCATTAACAGTGACTTTCAAGGCTTCACACTTGCAAGGCAAGCACTTGAGCCACGCCTCCAGTCCATTTTGCTCTGGTTATAAGCTATTTGCCTGGGCTGGCCTCAAACCTTGATCCTCCTGATCTCAGTCTCCCAAGTAGCTAGGATTACCAGCGTGAGCTACTGCTGCCTAGTTGAGACTTGCTTTTCACTGGTGCCTTTTCTTATGTTTTAAACCTGTGTACATTGCCCCTCAAAGAAGTAACATAAGCAATTAGGTAAATAAATATTCAGGGGAGGCTGGGGGTAGTGACTCATGTGGTAGAGCCTAGTATACCTGAGGTGCTAGGTTCCATCTGCAGTAACTGATTCTTCTTCCCCCCAAAAAAATGTGTTAGCCCACCTGCAGTGATGTTCTCAGACACTGATACATGTGATAAACAAGATACAGAAGAACAAACGGAAGGTTCTATTTTTAAAAGTTTATGATATTAGGGTGTCATTGCACATTTGTAAGCTCAACACCACAAAGAATCCCTTGAATGCCTGTGTGAGTCAAATGTAGCATGGAGGGATGGGAAGCTGATGGGAGGCAGAAGCTAGGGAAAAAGGAAAAGGCTCAACTTTAAAACAATAACACACCTATAATACCAGCCCTTGGAGGCTGAGGCAGGAGGACTGGAAGTTACAGGCCAGCCTGGGTTATAGTTGAGATGCTGCCCCCCCAAAATAACTCAAAATCAAAAATCAAACAGAAGCCCAACAGTAACATAATCACCATTATGTAAACACTGTAACCTCTAGCTTCTAGGGGCAGGCATCTGAGGCACAGTGAAGTGAAGTGAAGTGAAGTGAAGTGGCCTGGATTTGAGTCCAGGTCTATCACTCGTGCTCAGCACTTCTGCTGTTCTTGGACTGGACCTACCTGACTGAACACTGGTATGAGGAAAGCACATCCCAAGTGCTAACTAATTAAAGGTTGTAAGTTACAGGCTTATTAAACATTTATCAGGCATTAAAGTCTGAGGCAAGTGCTTTTCCTAGCCAATTTTCAGTAAGGTAGTATTATTATGATGTCCATTTTTCAGATGAGGAAACTGAGGCCCAGAAAGGAAAAAAAAAAATCACTGTTGGTCTCTCTGGCTAGAACACAAAGACGACGGCTTGGTCCTTCATTTTACTCAGTACTCCTCATGTTGCTTCTTCATATAGGGCCTCTCATAACCCACCTGATACAACACGCTCTTCCGCACTCCCCGGTCTCTTCTTTCTGAGTGCTGGGATTACAGGTGTGAACCACCACAATAAGCCTAACTAGTCTGATTTTTTTCTTCTCAGAACCTACATCACTTAATGGAGTTCACATGCTTGCTGTCAGCTTCCCTACTCACGGCACAAGCTCCCTGAACACAGGGACCCAGTTTGTTTTAGTCACTGCTGTGTCTAAAACAGTACCTGTGAACTTGTTCAAGATACACTGTATGTACATATGGAATAACCACAACAAACCCCCTCATATTATTAATGTATAATTCAAAGATATAAAATTTAAAATTAAAAAGAAAAAAACTAAAGGCCCAAGTGTTCAAAAATAGAGTATTTATTACATAAATACTAAAGCTGGGCACTGGTGGCTCACACCTGTAGTCCTAGCTAGCTGGGAGCCCGAGATCAGGAGGATTGAGAATAGAGGACAGTCAAGGCAATTAATTCAAAGACCCCCATCTCCCAAATAACCACAGCAAAACAGACTAGAGGTTTGATTTAAGCAGCAGAGCTTAAATCTGCTTAAATTTTGCTTTGTAAGCATGAAGTCCTGAGTTCAAACCCCAGTCCTAATAGGGAAAAAACCATTAATACACTTTGGTTATGTAGTAACTATGAAAACGGACTGGCAGTGTTCTGTGTTAGCCAGGTGAGGTGGTACATGCCTATAATGGCAGCACTCAGGAGGTTAAGGCAAGGGCCTGTCTTAAAAACAAAAGACAAACACAAGGACTGGAGGTGTGGATCAGTGGCAGAGCACCTGGCTAGCAAGTGAGGCCACAGCACCACAGTAACAATGGTCTGTGTGCCAGATGCCGGGCTAGGCACGTTACACATATTAAGTCACAGAATCTCTGTGACCACCATATTACCACCACTGTACAGACAAGAAAAAGTCAGATTGGGACATGAACCCAGGCAGGCTGGCTCCCAGGTGCATCATGCCTCTGAGCAGTGCACAGCACAGCTGGCAGGCAAGGAGAGAGCCCCAACTCTGATTTTAAGATTCTCCCCTCCCCCAGGCTTCCAAAAACCCCTTTCCTTCAGGTTCCTCAGACTGGAGATAGGGCTGCTTCTCCAGTCCTGGAGCCATGGCCTCCATGACCCAGGTGCTCACCTGTCAAAGGCCTTCACTCGGCCCAGGAGTTTCTTGTTGTTGCGGCAGTTGATGAGTACCTGGGTGTTGTTCTTGACCGACTGTGTGAGCACAGAGAGTGGACCTGTGTTAAATTCCTCTTCCTCTCGCTTCTGCAGCTCCTCTGGGGTCATCTCACTCTTGGGCTTGTTGAGGAGGCTCCTGAATAAGCAAGTAGGATCCCATAGGTGAGAGGGGCTTAGGCTAGGAGTGTGGGTGATCATGGCCTTGCTCCCAAACACCCACCCTCTGCTCAGCCTTCTCTTGGCATCACTTGGATGTCCAGTAGACATTTCCAACTTTGCCTGCCCCAGGGTGACCTCCAGATCACCGGAGCACTCCAACCCATTCTACACAGTATTTCCCAGCTCTGTCGATGGCAACTCCATCCTTCCAGTTCTTTGGAAAAACTCTGATGTCCACTGGGTTTTTGTCTTTCTCTCACATCCTACATCAAACCTATCACCACTCCTATCTGCCTCTCAAATATATCCAGAATCCAGACACTTTCTTCCATGGCCTAAACCCCTATCATCTCTCTCCTGGAGTCTTTTTTTGAGATCAGATCTTGCCATGTAGCATAGACTGGCCTCTAACCTGTGACACTCCTCATTGCTGTGATTACAGGTATGTGTCACTATGTCCAGCCTTCTTGAAGTTTTATTGGTCTTCTGCCTCCAACTCATGTTCCCTGGCATTCTGTTCTCCACAGAGCAGTTCTAGGGTTTGCACTGAAACCTAAACCCAGAGAGTAGGCATGTAGCTCAGTGGTAAAGTGCTTGCCTAGCATGTGGGAGACCTTGGGGGGGGGGTAGGGAAGAGGTAAAATCTAAACCATATGCTAATCTTCAAAATCCTCCCAAAGAGCCAGGCATGGAGGGCTTGCCTGCAATCCCAAAATTTGAGAGGCTGAGGCAACAGGACTGCAGGTTCCAGGCCAGCCTGGGCTACATAGTGAGACCCTTTTCAAAAAAAAAACCTCCCATCTAAGTTTAAAACGATAACTCAAAATTTTTGCTATGCCCTGCATCTGTCCTCTCTGTTACTTTTCCAAGGCCACAGTGACCTCCTGGGTGGTCTTTGACTATAGAAAACAAACTTTCATCTTAAGGCCACTAGTTTGCTGCTCCCTCCACCTGGCACTCCTAGGTATCTGTGTGGTTCTCTCTCTCCCTTTCTTCAGGTCCTTGCTCAAACGCTGTCTTCTCAAGTGTCCTGTGCTAGTTACGAAGATACTGTCATTTCCAATTTTTTAAAACCTATTCAACTCTTCATTCCTAACCCAGATCACCCAACACACCATATACTCGTTTATTACTGTGTCCATGGCCTACCTACCTCTCTTCCCCTCTTAAGACCTAGCAGGAATTTTTTTTTCTTGGGGACACAGATTACTGATGTATCCCACGTGCCCAAAAGCACATATGAATATGAGTATTCAATGTAATTATTTGGTGAATTTATAAACACGCAAAATCATTGCAGTCATTACCGTTCAAGTCGGGAATTAGGTCTCAAAGTCACCCGTCTGCAACTGGTATTATCCTGGTAAGTTCGTTACATTAAATCCTTATTGCTAATAGCCCGCACTTCCCGCTCCCGGAATCTTTATCCACCATTCAAAATGAATGTTGAAAATTCATTTCAATATCAACAAGACTAAGTGTACGGGAGAGCACCAAGCCGTATGTGATAAAGCTGTCCCCTGTCCCCTCTCATGGTGAAAGGCCCCATGCCCGTTCTCAAACTCATCAGGAGAAAAGAACGCCACTTTCCCCCTCAGATCTCTGCCTCCTCTCACCCCCTTACACCGTTAACTGGCCAAATTTCCACCCTCAACCTCACTCCCGCTGAAAAAGCCCAGCCCGGCCTCACATGGTGGCAGCTGCGATAGCAGGTCACTCCCGTCTCCTCCGCGTTGCTTCTACCTCTGAGGAGCGAGAGAGAGAGGGCGGGACTTCCGCTTCCTGCAACTCACTTCCGATGGCGCCTGCACAAACCCGACCGTCGAGTGGGGGCGTGGCCTGTTGCCATAACGATCCCCGCCTGCTGTGCAATGATGAGCTAAAAGCCTCGAGTGGTGTGGTTCGAGGCTGCTCAGCACCATACCGGGCAGATATTCACGACAATGAAGAGGAAAAAAGGGGAGTCCTACTCAAATTATTTGGTTGTAGAACAATATAAGTTAAAAGAAGGGAACGACACACCATTTCCAAATACCCGCCAGCCCTGCCTTCAGGGGGGCGCGGCCTCGGCAAAGCCAATCCGCTCTTCGCTTCAGCGATGGGCCCGCCCCTTCTCCTTCATGAGTGGTTTCTGGACATGTCTATTAATCTTTCCTACCAATCCCGCGCTTCTATCCAGGAAGGGCGTGGATCTGAGCGCGGGAGATCCAATGTTTTCCACGTTCAGCTGCTGCTCATTGGCTTTCTCTCTTCGGCGGAGGCGGACCCTATTCTTTTCGCGCTCCCATTTGGGTTTGTGCAACTCTCAGGGGAACCAACCCCAAAACCCCAGGGAAGCAGGGAGGCGTGTTCTCAGGATGCGAGTTCCCATTGGTTTCAGTGCTCGCTGGGGGTGGAACTTGGCTGGGCCTAAACTCTCTCCGCGGTCCCCCAGCGGTTTCGGGGCAACGCTGCCATGCGTTCCGGGGGCCGCGGGCGGCCCCGGCTCCGGCTCGGGGAACATGGCCTTTTAGAGCCACCTTCTCCACCTAAGCGCCGCCTGCTGCCGCGCGCGCAGCTGGTGCCCCTGCTGCTGCTGGCGCTGGCCGTGGGCTCCGCGCTGTACCTCATCTGTCTAGGCTGGCATCGAGGAAATGAGGAGCTGTCGCGGGGCCGGGAGGCACGGGTAAGGCCGGGCGGGGACCCTCATTCCCCACTGCCCCTCCCCTAGAGTCTCGGGTTGACGTGGCCCAAGTCGCAGGTGCCACCTCCTTTCTCCGTCACTTGGCGAATGCCCCTTAACCATGGCATAAGGCTTCGGTCTTGTCTTTATTAATACTAGCTTCCGCATAAGAGTAAAAAGATCGGGAGATTTGGGCTCTACGGCCCCTTCCTCTCATCGGGCTCCCCATCAGGGACTGCGGTAGGCTGGACTGGATGGGTTTGGAGGGACTTTTCCTGAGACTGGGATTTATCCTAAAAGTCTCCAATGCTGGAGGCCGCGCATTGCCAAGCGGAACCGGGGCACCTTGGGGGCCACAATGCCCCGGCTAGGGTGGGAACTGAGCGGGGCAGGGTTGCTCTCATTCTTCTTTTCCCATCTCATCTCCCTCCCAAGATCCCAGTGGTTGGAAGCCTTCCTGAAGCCAGGCTGCGGAGGGTGGTGGGGCAGCTGGACCCGCAGCGTCTTTGGGGAAATTTTCTGCGTCCCCTGCTGATTGTGCGAACGCCCGGTAGCCCTGGCAATCTTCAAGTCAGAAAGGTAAAGGGATCCCCTACCCCCAACCCTTGACCCTGTCAGCCTGCCAGGAAATGGGAAAGAGACACCCTGTGTCAAGAGGCAGAACTGGGGCCCCATTGGGTTTAATCAGACTTCAAAGTCACAGGCTGTATTGCGCCAGCCTCCCCGCCCAAAAAAAAAAAAAAAAATCAATCTTACTATGTGCTAGATACAAGCAACAAACAGCCCCTAGAGGTGAGAACCACTACGATCTTTGTTATGCAGATGGGGAAACTGAGGCCCAGGCAGGTTATATACTTTGTCTGAATCCTATAGCTAATAAATGGTAGACCTGGGGTTTAGACCCAAGCTGGAGGTGTAACATTTTTATATTGCTGTTTAGTAGATCGTGTGTTCCAGTTCCACCTTGCCTCAGACTATTCCCCTGCAAAATGGGGTCATTCATTGGCATTCCTTACCCTTGAAGGTTCTAGAATAGATCTTGGCACATAGTGAGAGCTATTTAAGATTAAGTCATGATTAGTCTTGTTGACATCAAGAGGAAGGGTAACCCCAACATCTGGCATCCAGTAGTAGGTACACAGCAGAAATTATGTCGAGGGAATGACTTAAAACCAATGTGGGGTTTTCGAGTCAATCTGACTGTTCTGTATGGCTCAGGTCATACGGCCCTTCTCCCCACCTCCTCCCCAGTCCCTGTCCACCCTCCCACCTCTCTCTTGCCACTAGTTCCTGGAGGCCACACTACGAGCCCTGACAGCAGGCTGGCACGTGGAACTAGATCCCTTCACAGCCTCGACGCCCCTGGGGCCACTGGACTTTGGAAATGTGGTGGCCACTCTTGATCCCGGGGCTGCCCATCACCTTACACTCGCCTGCCATTATGACTCGAAGCTCTTCCCTCCTGGGTCAGCCCCCTTTGTGGGGGCCACGGATTCAGCTGTGCCCTGTGCCTTGCTACTGGAGCTGGCTCAGGCCCTTGATCTGATGCTGAGCAGGGCGAAGCAGCAGGTGAGGACAAGCCCCCACCCTCCCTTGCCTTTGCCATCTTTGTCTTCCAACTTACATTTCACACTGAGCCACAGGGATCTTTCTACATGAGGTGTGTCTTGGAACTCATCTAAGTCTCTTCTCCTCACCCGCTCCCCACTCCCACACCCACCTCCTCCTGTGTCCCTTAAATCCACAGGGTTCACACCCACCTCAGGACATTTGCACTTGCTGTTTGCTTTGCCTAGAATTTTTTGTTTTTTTTGTGATACTGAGAATTGAACTCAAGACCTCTCACTTACACTTTACCACTTGAATCACTTTGAATCACCAGCCCTTTGGCTTTTAGTTTGTTTCTCAGATAGGGTCTCGTGCTCTTTCCCCAGTTAGTCTTAGACCTCAATCTTCCTACCTCCTGAATAGCTGGGATTACAGGCACACACCACCACGCCAGCCTAGAAAGTTGCTTTTCTCAGATAAGCTTTTTCCCCTTCCTTGCTGACTCTTGCCTTTCATGCAGCTGTCACTCCAATGTCATCCTTTCAAAAAGGCTTCCCAGCCACCCTAAACTAGCTCCCGTCACTGTCCTTGTTTTATGCTGCTTTCTGTTGACTTGTTTGACTATCTTCCTAACTAAACTAAATTCCTCGAAGACAGGAATTTGTCTTTTGTTTCTTGCTACATCCTTGGGTGAGAATATTGTGTAGGGATATCAGTAAAAGTTTCTGGGGTAAATCAATGAATGGAAACACAAATCTCACCATGCTTCTCCCCTTCTCAAACACCTTCCATGGCTCCCCAGTAACTCAAACTTTTGGGGCCTTAGTAACCTTTGTAGTCTCTCAGATGTCTTTGGCTTGTTCCCTGGCCCCAGCTTTGGTTGATGTTGTCCCCTTGACTGGGGACACTCTTCCCTCTGCTACACTGTTGCTGGGCCAACTCCATCTACTTATCCTCGAAGCAAACATCCCTTCAAACAGGCCCAGCACCCTTCTTTGGCCAGATCATTTGCCAGTCCCTTTTCTGTGCTTTCTTAGGACCCTTTAGCTCTTGGAAGCATCTGTCCTAACTGCATTTCACTGTATGGCATTCATTTGTGGGTCAGCCTCATTTGCCAAATTGAGCTTGAAGGGTTAATAATCAGAGCCAATCTGTCTTGCCAGGTGCTGTGGTAAGGCCTGGATTCAAATCCTACCCTATGGATTGGAGCTATGATTAACCCCATTTAATAGATGAGGAATTTGATGCTTCAAGAATTTAGTAACTAGACCAACTTGGTGGCCCATGCCTGTAATCCTAGTTACTTGGGAGGCTGAGATCAGGAGGATTGCAGTTGGAGACAACCCTGGGCAAATACTTTGTGAGATCCTATCCCCAGGTAACTACAGCAAAATGGACTGGACGTGTGGCTCAAGCGGTAGGGCACCTCCTTTGCAAGCAAGAAGGCCTGTGTTTAAACCCCAGTATCACAAAACGAATAAACAAAAAAGTAACTAGACTTGGTAGCATATGCCTGTAGCTCTCAGGAGGCTGAGGCAGAAGGATCTTGAGTTCAATGCCAGCCTGAACTATCTAGGAAGACCCTGTCACACAAAACAAAACAGGTGTAGTGGTTCACGTTTACAACCCAAGCTACTCAGAATGTGGAGACCAGGAGGGTTGAGGTTTGAGGCCAGCCTGGACAAAAATTTAGTGAGACCCCCCCCCAAAACCTCCTTCTCCACAAATAAGCCAGGCATGGTGGCATGAGTATTTAGTTCCAGCTGGTCAGGAGGAATAGGTAGGAAGAGCAGGGTTATGAGGCTGCCTAGGGCAAAAATACAATACCCTACCTGAAAAACAACTAAAGCAAAAAAGGGCTAGGGGTGTGGTTCAAGTGGTAGAGCGCCTGCTTAGCAAATGCAAGGCTCTGAGTTCAGTACCCCCCCCACAGACACAGACACACACACACACACACACACACACAGACACACACACAGACACAGACACACACACAGACACACAGACACACACACAGACACACACAGACACACACAGACACACACACAGACACACACACACACACACAGACACACACACACACACAGACACACACACACAGACACACACACACACAGACACACACACACAGACACACAGACACACACACGGCTTACCCCTACCTGTCTGGCTATGAAGCAGCTGGGTGTGGATTTGAACCCAGGCAGTCTGGCTCTGTCTGTGCTATAGGCACCACATTGTATGAGCGAGAACACCTAGTTTGTCCTATCCCGCTGTGCAGGTGGGTGGGGGACAGGGGTGGGTTGGTGCTGAGGGCTAGTACTGAGCTGGCCCCGGCCCCCTGCTCCCACAGGCAGCCCCTGTGACCCTGCAGCTGCTCTTCTTGGATGGGGAAGAGGCACTGAAGGAGTGGGGGCCCAAGGACTCCCTTTATGGGTCCCGGCATCTGGCCCAGCTTATGGCATCCACGCCACACAGTCCTGGTCCCACTAGGATCCAAGCTATCGTAAGACTGGGGTCCCACTGGGTTCTGGTGAGGGAGGGGAAGGTGGCACAGTGTTGGCAGGATCCCGTGGCCTCTCCACTCCTGGCATTTCTCCCTAGGAGCTCTTTGTGCTTCTTGATCTTCTTGGAGCTCCCAGTCCCACCTTCTACAGTCACTTCCCCAGAACAATCCGCTGGTTCCATCGGCTGAGGAACATTGGTAAGAAGGTGGTGGAGGTGGGTACCAGCCTGGGATGCAGGAGGGAGGGCAGTGGGACAAGCTTCTGTCCTCTGAGGGCTCATTCCTCATCTCCCTGGTCTCTAAGGAAGCAGGGAAGACACACAAACATCCCGCAGAGGTCAGATGTGGTGATTATAAAATAGGGTCTCGAGCATGAGACAGTGCTAGTTTCAAATCCTGGGTCTGCCTTAAGCAAGAGGCTTCGATTCACTAGGTGCTGGTGGCTCATGCCTGTAATCCTTGCTACTCAGGAGGCAGAGATCAGGAGGACTGAGGTTCAAAGCCAGCCCAGGCAGGACCCTATCTTGAAAAAAACCCATCACAGAAAAGGGCTGGTGGAGTGGTTCAAGGTGTAGACTTTGAGTTCAAAACCCAGTACTGCAAAGAAAAAAAGAAAAGAGGCTTGGTTTTTCTGAGTCTCAATGTCCTATTTGTAAAATGGGCATGACGATAATGCTATTAAGGTCATCTATGAGCCAGGCATAGTGTCAAAACCCTGTAATTCCAGCACCTGGGAGGCCAAGGCAGGAGGATTGCAAGTCTGGGTCTACATAGAGAGACCCTGTCTCAAAAACCAACAGCAAACAAAACACCAACGCTGAGCTTGATGGCACATGCCTATAGTTCTAGCACTTGGGAAGCAGTGTCAGGAGGATTTTCAGTTCACGGCCAGCTTGGGCTACATAGTGAGACCCTGTCTCCAAAATCCAAAACTAAAATGCAGAGGTGTCTATCTCCTGGGATTGAAGGAAACCAGGAACACAGTAATCCCACAATAAGGAGAAACACGTTCATTTGTGCTGGGCAAGGAACACTCTGTCTTTGGAACCCTTGCTCCTCTGGGATTGGATTTGCGACAGACTGCTGAGGATTAACCCTTGCTCTCTAACCCTGCTGTCTGCAGAGAAGCGCCTGCATCGGCTGAACCTCCTGCAGTCCCACCCACAGGAGGTGACATACTTCCAGCCTGGGGAGCCCCCTGGCTCTGTGGAAGACGACCACATCCCCTTCCTCCGCAGAGGTACTTGCAGAATGCAGGGAGGGGTGGGATAAGGGTCCAAGGAACACCCCACAACCAGGACCTGGCCCAGGCCCCATCCCAGGACTGGGACTAGTGGCTGTGCTTTGATTTCCACATCTGTAAAATGGAGGTATCTCAGAGTATTAAGTGCACTGACTGACTGTACGATATGTGTAAAGATTTTTTGCCCAGAATATAGCAAGCATTCAAGACATGTTAGCTATTAAGCCAGGCCTGGTGGTACATGGCTGTAATCCCAGCACTTGGGAGACTGAGGCAGGAAGGTTTTGAGTTTGAGGCCAGACTGGTCTATATAGTGAGTTTGAGGCTAGTGTGGGCTATATAGCAAGGGTTCAATCCCTGGTACTGAAGAAATTAAAGTTTACTGTAAGGATAAAATGATTGTGTGTGTGTGATCTTAGACTAGGCCTGGAACATAACGAATACAATGTAAAACATGAGTGCTATTAAAAGAAAGTGTACAGTTAATGGACACCTGGTAAGGAGGCTTAAGGACCTCGTTTTTTGCTAGTACTGGGATTTGAAATCAGGGATTCACAATTGTGAGGCAGCTGCTCTACCCCTTGAGCCACACCTCCAGTTATTTTTGCTCTGATTATTTTAGAGATGGGGTCTTGCTTTTTGCCCAGGCCAGTCTGGATCTCCATCCTCCTATTTTACACATGCTACCACATCCAGCTTTTTTCTGTTGAGATGGGGTCTTGCAAACTTTTTTCCCCTGGGTTGTCCTGGAACCTTAATCCTCCCAATCTCAGGCCCCCAATAGCTTGGGATGACAGGCATATGTCATCACACTTACTTATTGGTTGAGATGGGGGTCTCGCAAACCTGTTGCCTGACATCCTTGCCTGTCTAAGGTTCTTTTTCTATTTGCCAGTCTCTCAACAATCCGTTGAGGGTTTTTTCTGTTTTCTTTTGCGGTACTGGGGCCTACACCTTGAGATAGGGTCTTGTAAACTATTTGCCTGAGCTGGCTTCAAACTGATCCTTCTGATCTCTGCCTCCTGAGAAGCTAGGATTGCAGGCGTGAGGCACTAGTGCCGGCTCTGCTGAGTTTTGAGGTTAATTTGTTATATAAAAGGAACTTTTTTTTTTTTTTTTGGTGGTACTGGGTTTTGAACTCAGGGCCTTGAGTTTGCTAGGCAGGTGCCCTCAAGTGGTAGGGCACCACTTGAGCCAAACTCCCAGACTATATTTTTTAAAAAATAACATATACCCTTAGAATCATTGTTTAGAGCTCCGAACATACCAGAACAGAGTATCTTCTGTGGGGTGAGGTGAGATAAGGGTGCCCCTGCTCTAGGTGAGCAGTAGGCCATGTCAGGCATGACAGAGTGTCCTCTTCCCTCATCTCCTCCAGGGGTCCCTGTGCTCCACCTCATCGCCACGCCATTCCCTACTGTCTGGCACACGCCTTGGGATACAGAGGCCAATCTCCACCCTCCCACTGTGCACAACCTAAGCCGAATCCTTGCTGTGTTCCTGGCTGAGTACCTAGGGCTCTAGCCTGTAGGCCAGTGCCCTCGAGGACCTTACTCTGAAGGGGACAGCAGGGGACATGCCAAGAACACCTGGAGCCAGTGCAGGAAGCACAGCAGGCCCTATCTCAGGTGCGCTGGCTCATCCTTTCCTATACCTTTTAGCCCCTTCATATGCCACGGTTGGTGACTATCTCAAACTGCCCTCAAGGACACAGAAGGGACCACTGAGGGGTGACAGCTGAAGAATAGAGCTCGGCCCCTGCTCTGAGGTAAACACCTGGTCTAGCCGTTTCCAGGGGCCACATGCTGTATTTTTAGTCAACCAGCAAGGGTCTGGTACGTGGATCAGCATCACCCCACCCTGCAGTGCGTTCTCCTGCAGAATGGCAGTCTCAGCTCCACACACATCCAGACCTGACTCCCGGGTGGGGCCCACAGCAGAGGGGCTCAGCATTGGGGACAAAGGAGATGGAAGGTCAGGTTCGGCCTGATCCTGTGGGCAAGTCACCAGTGTTTTAAGGGAATCAGAGGTTAAAGTAGCGGTGTGAAATATTAAATATCATTGCACAATGTGACGTTTCCAGAGTAAGGCAGAGAATGGTACTCAATGCCTTTCACCACGGAACCCCTTATTGGGAGGCACCTCATAGAACTAGGGGACCTCAGAAGATACTTCGGGAAACACTGGGTTTGGCCTATTTGAGGCTATTTATGGTAGAAAAGTGTCAGCAGACTTAGGTTCATTGCAAAGTGGTGACATCAAACCATCCCTTCCTTTTTGGTGCAGTGCTGGGTGTGGAACCCAGGGGCCTGGTAAATGCTACTGCTCTGCTAGTGAGCTACATCTCAGCTTTTTTTGTGTGTGTGAAACTGGGGGTTTGAACTCAGTGCTTTATGCTTGGAGCTCCAGTCCATTTAGCTCTGGTTATCTTGGAGATGAGGTCTGGAACTATTTGCCCAGGCTGGCCTTGAACGGCAGTCCTGATCTCAGTTTCTCAAGTAATTAGGATGACAGGACCTGGGTTTTGTTTTTTACATTTAAGTTTTTGCAGTACTGGGGTTTGAACTTATTTTTGAGACAGAATCTCACTGCTACCTTTGCCTGTGCTGACTTCAAACTTTTTTTTGGCAATACTGGGGTTTGAATTCAAGGCCTCACACTTGCTAGGCAGGCGCTCTACCACTTGAGCCTCTCTGCCAGCCCTTTTTAAAAATTTTTTTTTTTTTTGTAATTTCAAATTCTTCCTCCTGCCTCTACCTCTAAGTAGCTGCGATTACTTGGCTTCCATCCTTTCCTTTTAGCCGTGGGTCCACACAGCAGTGTGAGGTGAGAGTTAGTTCCCACGCCCACCTAATCATCAGACTCAGCTGGGGAGCTTATTTTTTGAAACAGGGTCTCACCATGTAGCCCAGGCTGGCCTCCAACTCATGAGCCTCCTGCTTAATCCTTGAGTGCTGGGATTACAGGTGTGTACCACCATGCCTGACTCTTAGGAGTTTTTTTAAAAACAAAACAGACTCCCAAGTCCAGCCCCAGACCAACTGAAGCAGGATTCCAGGAAGGGCCTAGGAACACTTGTGGGAATCTTCACCAGCTGAGTTTGGGACACACAGTCCTTAAAGACACAGCTTGGTGCCTGCATAGTTACTTAGCAGACAACTCAGAAAAAACCCTAGAAGACAGGGATCAGGCTGGAGGTGCAGCTCAGTGGTAGGGCACCTGCTGTGCAGGTGCAAGGCCCTGGGTTTATCCCAGGATGGAGCATTATTAAATCCTGATGAACACTGGCCTTCTGAGCCAACTCAAGGCTGCAGAAGACTCCTGGAAACTCCAGGGCTGAACCTCATGATGTCACATGACAGAGGATGATCAGAAGGTCCTCAGTTCAGTTTCTTCCAGTTGCTGACAATTACTGGGGACCTGTGTACAGGTACCATAGGTTACTCCCCAAAGTCTGAGGTAGCTATCATTTCAGGTCTTATTTTGCAGGTGAGGTAGTGAGAGAAAATTGTGACCCAGATGTTTGGAGAGCCCAGTCTCACTCACAGCTGTGCTCCCCACCCTTGGAGAATATTTTAATAAAAAAGTAGCCTGTGGCCTTTTAATGGCTTTAGGCACATTTTTGGCTTGAATCCTGGGTAAGGACTGTTCGGCCCATTTTACAGATGAAGGTGACATTTCCCCAGTTTCCACTCATATTTCAGACTTGGGCCCACAGCTTCACTGAACCAACCAAAGGACCATCAGTGTATTCATAAGGACACTTGTTGGGGCTGAGGGAGTGGCTCAAGTGGTAGAGTGCCTGCAAGGCCCTAAGTTCAAATTCCAGTACTACAAAAAATTTTTCCAAAACTCTAAGCTTTTTGAGCACTGACATGATACCACAGGTGGAAAATTCCACACCTGACTTCATGGGATGAGTCACAGTTAAAACACAGGTTTTTTTAACCAAAACTACCTGTGGGGGCTGGGGGTGTAGCTCAGTGATAGAGCACTTACCTAGCATATGCGAGGCCCCAAGTTCAATCCCCAGCACCACGGAAAAAAATTTCAGACAATGTGTACAAGATGAATATGAAACATAAATGAGTTGTTTTTAACTTAGTCCCATCCCGGAGCTGTCTCACTGTCTAAATGTACGTATTCCAACATTAAAACAAAACAAAACCAGCCAGTCATAGTAGTGCGTGCCTACAATCCCAGCTCCTCAGGAGGCAGAGGTAGGAGGAGCTGTCCGAGGCCCATCTGGGAAAAAGTTTGAGAACTTATCTGAAAAACAAACTGAAGCAAAAAGGGCCAGAGGCAGGACATGGCTTAAGTGATAGAACCCCAAATTCAAACCCCAGTATAGTCCAAAACAGAATGAATAAATCTGAATACTTCTGGCCCCAAACCTTTCAGGTAAGGAATACTCAACTTTTTTTTTTTTGTGGTACTGGGGTTTGAACTCAGGGCCTTTACCTTGACCCACTCCACCAGCCCTATTTTGTGAAGTATATTTTGAGATAGGGTCACGTGAACTATTTGCCCAGGCTGGCTTTGAACTGCAATCCTCCTGATCTCTGCCTCCTGAGTAGCTAAGATTACAGACATGAGTCACTGGTGCCTGGTTGTGATGCTTTTTTTTTTTTAAGACAGGGTCTTGCAAACTGTTTTGGGGGGCTGGTTTCGAACTGTGATCCTCCTGATCTCTGCCTCCTGAGTAGCTAGGATTACAGGTGTGAGCCACTAGTGCCTGGCTGTATTTTTCATTTCTAAACGTTATCTGTGAGCTTTTTCCTTTCCAATCTGCTAAGCAGATTCCCCTGCTGATATTTCCAAACTCCTCTTAAAATTTTAAACACAGTTAGCTGGGCACCGGTGGCTCATACCTGTAAGCCTAGCTAACTGGGATGAGATCAGGAGGGTTGTGGTTTGAGGCCAGCCTGGGCAAACAGTTCTCAAGACTCCATCTCCATAATAACCGGAGCCAAATGGACTGGAGGCGTGGCTCAAATGGTAAGAGCACCAGCTTTGCAAGTGCGAAGCCCTGAGTTCAAACCCCAATCCCACCAAAAAAACAATAAAAATTAAGCATGGTTTAAGATCCTATGTTATGATCTGAAGCCTTTAGTTTTGAGAGGTTGTTTCTGCTGATTCTTGCTCATATTGCTGTATTTCTACACCTGTCTGTTTATTGCTCATTCTGTAAAGAATTATTTGGGAGATTGTGATGACAGTTACTTCCACTGTTCTTGCCAGACCTCTCAAGTACAGTGGCTCAAACAGGTTTTGTTAACCTGGCTGTAAACCTGTACCATCTGCAGCCACAAACTCCCAGGTCAGAACTGGGGTTTGAACTCAGGGCCTCGCACTTGCTAGGTGAGCCCTCTAGCACTTGAGCCAGACCCCCGTTCCTATTGCTTTTTTAGTTTGTTTCTCAGATAGTGGCTAATGTGTAGATACCCTGCTGGTGTGTTTTTTAAGACAGGGTCTCCCTAACTTTTGCCTGGGTTGACCACAAAGACCTCATGATCCTCTTACTTCTGCCTCCCAAGAGCCTGGGATTACAGGCACATACCACCATGCCCAGCCTTCCATTTGGCCTTGTGCGCCCCTCTGCATTTCAGACATCTCTCCAGTGTTCTGGATTATTCTTACCTGAACCTGCAGTTCTGTGGGATCTGCACTCCTGTTAGCTCCTCTGAGGTTCTCCATCTCAGGCAGGCTTGTCTCAAAGTCTGCCAAGTAGGAGCTGGGAGCCAGTGGCTCACACCTGTGATCCTGGCTACTCGGGAGGCAGAGATCAGGAGGATCATGGTTTGAAGCCAGCCCAGGCAAATAGTTGTAGAGACCCTATCTCGAAAAGACCCATCACGAAAAAGGGCTGGTGGAATGGCTCAAGGTGTAGGCTCTCAGTTCAAGCCCCAGTACTGAAAAAACAAACAAACAAAAAAAACCCTGCCAAGTAGGGAACTCAAGTTTGTCCATCAGCAAAAGCCCTAAGAGGGAAAGGGGCTCCAGGGTTCATGTACCTTTCCTGTAAATTTCTGGCTCAGTGGGCCCTTTTTTATTGTATTTTATTGGCTTTCTGATGCATCTTTTGGGAGTTCTAGGACTTGAACTCAGGGCCTCACATTTGCTAGGCAGGCGCTGTACCACTGAGCCACTCCTTACTATGGTATCTTATCAGAGACTGCTAGCTTCTTCTCAGTATTGACTTTTCTCTCTCTTTATACTTAAAATTGAAAAGATGTCTTATCTTCCCCTTATATTTCATAAAATAATTACATATTTTAAAACTTTACAGGGGTTTTTGGGGTTTTGGGGGTCTTGGAGTTTGAACTCAAGCCTTGGTGTGCCACCACTTGAGCTACACCCCCATCCTACAGATGTTTTTTGTGGGACTGGAATTTGAACTCAGGGTTTTGCACTTGCAAGCAGGCACTCTACTGCTTGAGTCACACCTCCAGTCCATTTTGCTTTGGTTATTTTGGAGATTAGGGGTGTGTATGGGGGGGTGTCTCAAGAACTACTTGTCGTGGCTGACCTTGAATCCTGATCCTCCTGATCTCAGCCTTTCTTAGTAGCTGGCGCCTGGCCAGATCTTTAGTTCTGGTAGCTACTCTACCCAGTTAAAAGACTACATTTCCCAATCTCCCTTGCAGCCGTTGTGTATGGCAAAGTTCTGAGCAGTGAGGAGTGTACGAAAGTATGTGTGGCACCTTTGGAAGGAAAGGGGCAGGGGTTCCAGCTGTCATCTCAGACCACAAGGCCAAGGGCCACAGCCAAAGCAGGACAGAATGGTGAGCTACAGGGCACCTGCACTCCTGCTGACCTGAGGGCCACCATACTTGCCCAACCCTAGAATCTTTTTAATGAAGTAAAAATGACCTTCAAATTACTACTATTTTGAGATTCTAAAATCCAAACCAACACAGGTGAGAAAAGTCCAAGATAAGCCCAGGCTTAGGGACTTGGCCAAGGGTCCTCCTTTCCTTTTCCATCCTACTGTGCCCAGAACCATGGCTCTCTTCCCTCCCCAACCTCCTCCCTTAACAACACACAGAGCAGTCTGGGTCCAGCCTTATAAATATTGATTTTATAGAAAGGACCAATTCAAAATTGGTCAGATGACACGTGCTAGAAGCTTCCAGAACCACAATGAAAAAATCAAAACAAAACCAAAAAAACCCCAAACAGGACAAACAAAAATACCCCAGGCCAACTCCTGAAGGTAGAGGTCACAGTTGACCAAAAGATTCTAAGGAAACATGTGGCTGGGGGTAAAGAGGTCCCCCCAGAGCCTCAACACGTATCCAGAGTGGGAAGAAAATCCACCTAGGAATCCAGACCCATAGTCCCTGCCTCCGGCCCCCCACTGTCAAAAGCGCAAAGGGCTTCACAGCATTGTTGGGGGAGGAGTGGGTCGCAACAGCTTAAATTATGAGAAGGCCAGTGTTTCTAGATTTGAAGCTTTGTTTTTTTTTTTCCCTCTTCCCTTACAGGGGAAAGGGAGAGACTAGTAGTTTGAGGTTACGGAAAAAACAGATTTTTATTTCTTTAATGGGGAAAACATCTAGAAAGGGCTGGCTGCTATGAAAAAGTGCCAAATTTGACTTGTGATCCCCTCCCAAAGATGGGGGAGCTCTGGTGTGGTGTGGTGAGGTACCAACCTTGGCTGCTGCGGTCTCTTAGGAGCATACAGCTCCTGCAGATAGAGAACTAGGTGAGGCACGGGAAGAGGGCCAGCCTAGGGAGAAGCCTTGGGTGGTACCAAAGTTAGCTGCCGTCTGTTCCCTGCTGGTGGGTTCCTGGGGTGTAGAGTGGCAGGGAGTTGTGTTGGGCTGAATGGAGAAGAAATTGAGATGCTGACAATAAAAACAAAAAACACCCTACTTGAGGGTCCATGCCCTGGCTCTTAAAAGTAGAAAACCAACAGGGGTCAACTAATGTTTTCTTGGGGCACCCCTGAAGCTGGTCTCAGTTCTGGTGGAGGATCCACACTGCCTGGACTGGGGCTGTGGGCTGGGGGCCCAGTTCCAGCCCCCAGCTCCTGGGGGAGAGGGGAGGGGTGGGCATACTGGACATCCCCCCTCCCCTCTCCAGGCTTCACCTCCCCTCCTCGCGACCAGTGCGGCCCCCACCCACCCCATTGCAGGGCAGCACCCAATTGTTGTCATGCAGGCCCAGGCGACAGCCAGGCGTTTCGCGATCAGCTCGGCGGCAGCACATCCAGTAGGAGCGTCCGTAAGGCAGGTCATGGTGGTAGGGCTTGGGGTGCCAGCGGCAGAGTGACACATCGCCCTTCTCATATCTCTTGCGGCACTGCTTGCAAGGGTCGTCACGGTACAGCGGATCCCGGCTCCAGCGAGAGTCTGTGGCGCGCACACCAAACGCCTCAATGATGCCCTTGAAGTGGTGGCAGGTGCACTTCAGGGCTGCCAGGGCCCTGGTGGGCAGGAAGCTGAAGATCTTCACCAGCACGTGCTCCGGCAGCAACAGCATGTACTGTCGCGGCTCCAGCAACCGCTGGATCTTGAAGCGGATCTCTAGGAAGTCGTGGGACACATGCCGGTAAAGGCGGCACAGGGAGGTGTCCGAGGTCCCCTCAGCATCGTCCGTGCCTGGCACCGTGGTTGGTGTGTCGGCTGGGGGTGGCTCGGGGGGCCCATCTGGCCCCCGGGACTGGAGGAAAAAGAGCTGGCCAGGTGGGGGTGGCTCCTCAGGGCTGACCGTGAGGCACACGGTCTCTTCCTTCACATTCTTGGTGCCATCCTTGCCAAAAAAGATGCACTCGTCCACCACGCCAGTCACCACCACATCCACATGGAAGCCCGATGCACCGCAGTCCCGAGCTGGGGGTGGAGGGGGGGCTGGGGGAGTGTCCTCCAGCCTGGCAGGAGCTGGGGTCTCCCCCTCACTGGCTTCGTCGGCCCTAGCCAGCAGGAACTCCACATTGCTGGGGAGGGCATCCCTGGAGGGGCTGATGAGCTGGTATAAGTCACATGTGATCTTGTCCTTGGCTCGAGCTCCAGGACCTGGGCTACCAGGGTAGGCACAACTGGGCCGACCCCCTGCCCCACTGGGCAGGCTGCTGTCCGAAGTGCGAGGTTCCCGGCCATTGGAGATGCGGAAGGCAATGCGTACCTCCCCAGGGCCTGGACCTGGCCGTTCCTCCTTGCGGAGGCCTTTGGTCGGGGTGTTGTCTCGCTGAGCCTCAAAGTGGGCCACTGCCTCAGCCACACGGCTGCAGTCACCACCACCGGAGCGCCTCTCAGACCCCAGCCCCTTGGCCGGTCCACCCTGCTCAGCTGACACAAAGACCACAGGCGCTGGGGTGGTGGGGCGTGGGTAACTCTGCAGAGCCAGGGCAGCCCTCTGCTCTACCAGGGCCACCATCTCAGCCACAGAGAGCAGGTCCACGTCCTCCCCGGCTGAGCTGGGGCCCCCCTCAGCAGCCGGTAGTCCATCTTGGCCCCCTGGGTCTGGAGGAGCCTTGGTGGGCTCAAGACAGCGCCTCCTCCGCTTAGCCTTGGAGCTGTCACTGCCCCAGTGCCCCTTGACCTTCATGGAACTGGCCCGGCTGCCTCCACCACATTGGTGGGCCACAAAGAAGGCCACCTTCTCCTTCGTATTCCCAGGCTTGATAACATACCACGTGTCCAGCAGGACTCGACCCTCGTCGCCAGCAGCTGCTGCCGAGAGGAGCGGGCCATGCTGGGAGGCAGGGGCCTCTGAGCCCAAGGTGGGTGGTGTGTTCTCTGAGTGAGCAGGACCGTGATCGGGCTCAGTCCCGCTGCTGGGCTCAGGGCAGGCTGATGACTTGAGGCCTGCAGAAGGTGGGCGTGGCTGGTTCTGGGAGTAAGTGCCAAAGGGCCTGGGGCACCAGAGCTGGAAGGGCAGGAGGCCACTCCGGTCCATTCTGGTGGTGGTGGGGGGGGAATGGCAAAGAAGCAGGGAGTCACCGTATCTCAGGACCAGTATGGTAGTAGGGAGCTCCACATGCCACCTGGAGACAGGGAAGAGAAAGTTGAATTGCTGAGAGAATACAGAGCTTTCCCTCCCTGGACCTACCCGACCTCAACTTCAGATCTAATTACATCATCAAGAACTCTATTACCAGCCAGGCGTAATAGTGTACACCCATAATCCCAGTCACTCAAGAGACAGAAGGAGGAGCATTGAGAATTTGACACCAGCCTGGGCAAAGTTAGTGAGACCTCATCTCCAAAACAAACCAAGGAACCCTACAACCAACTAAACATACAAAAAAGGGCTGGGGGTGTGGCTCAGTGGTAGAACACTTGCCTAGCAAGCACAAGACCCTGGGTTTCCTCCCCAAAGGAAAGGCAAAAGAAATTTAAAAACCCAAAAAACTAGTCCCACACCACCACTCAGGTTAAGCAGACAGCACTGCAGAGCAGAATGCTCTTCAAACAGAGTGCAACAGAGCTGACAGCTTGCTCTGACCTCCCACTTTCTCCACCACTGCCCAACTGCCTCCTGCTGCCATGACCTTTACACTTGAGTGAAAGTGCCAGTCCACAGACAAGCTCCTTCCTTTTCCTCTTTGCTCACCCAGTAACCAGTTCCTGAAAAGACAGGACTTCCCAGACCTGTCCATAGCTATGGATGCTTGAGCCCATAGAGGGAGGAGTGAGGTGGGCTGGGTGGGGAAGAAAATCTGAAGCCAGACCCCAGAACAGGCCCTTAAGAAACTCTTAGGCTTGGCAGTGCACACCTATAATCTCAGCACTTGGGAAGGAAAAGCAGGAGCACACAAGTTCAAGGTCAGCCTGGGCTACATGGGGAGAATGTCTCCAAAGAAAAATGAAAGAAAACAGACTTGCTCTTTACTTTTCTCAGGTCACAGGGCTCTCTGAGCCTCTCTTAAAGCCATACAACCTTAGAAAAACGGACACCCATGCAAAGGCTGTGCAGGCACCTCCCTGCAGTGCAGCCACAGACCTGGGATAACTCCCTTTTCAAATTGATCATGAGTAGACTGGGGCTCAGGGGAGAGGAGGGTTTCAGAATTAAGGGCACAGAGCATCCAGAGCAAACCAGCCTCTCACACTTGGTTTCTGGACTCCAGCACAGGGCTCTCTTAAGGAGTATTTTGTTTTGCAATGACTTTATGTGCATGACCTAATCTGGAGGCAATTTTGGTAATGAGTCCAATATAGGCCTCTCTCCCTTGGTTTACCCCTTCCAGGCATTGAAAAAAGAAAATAACCCTCCAGCAGGGTGTGGTGGTGCACATCTGTAATCCCAGGATTTGGGAAGGCTGAGCCAGGAGGGAATGGAGGGAGGAAAGGGCAGAGGAGGAAGGGAAGGGGAGGATTGTAATCCCAGCACTTTGGGAGGCTGAAGCAGAAGGGAGGAGAGGAAGGGAGGTATTTAAGGAAGGGAAAGGGAAGGAAGAGGATGGGAAGGGAGGGAGAATGAGGGAAGGAAGGAGAGAGAAGCATGGCCCAAGTGGTGGAGCACTGTCCTAGCATGGTGAGACCCTGGGCCAGTAGAGCCCCCCAAAAGAGAGAGAGAGAAGAAAAGAATCCTTCAAATTTCACACTCTCCACATGCCTATAGACCAGCAAGGTCAGCACACTATGGACCAAGGGCCAAACCCAGCTCACAGCCTGTGTTTGTAAATAGTTTTATGGAACCGCACACTATAGCCGCTTTGATGCCACAACAGCAGCCTGCAGCAAAGACTGTATGATACATTCATTACCTGGTCCTTATGGGAAAAGCTTGCTGACTCTTGCGGTGTAGACTGTCTCCTCTAAGCCCAGGCATTTCTGGATATCCCATTCACTTCATGGTCCTGCACACCCATTCACAATTCAGACAGCCCCCAAACCCAGACACAAGACATCAGAGGCAAAAAGAGTCTAAATCTTTTTTGGTGATACTGGGGTTTGAACTCAGGGCATTCCCTAGCAAGTGCTCTACCACATAAGCTTTTTTGCTTTATTTTCAGATGCTTTTTTGCCTGAGCAGGACTAGACTGCTTTTTTGCTTTATTTTCAGATGCTTTTTTGCCTGAGCAGGACTAGACTGCAATTCTCTTACTTATGCCTTCCACATAACTGGGATCACAGATGCGAACTACCACTCCCAGTTTGTTCTTTGAGATAAGGTCTCCATAACATTTTTGTTTGGGCTAGCCTTGAACCATGATCCTCCTGTCTCTGCCTTCAAAATAGCTGGGATTACAGGTATGAGCCATCACACCCAGCTGGAGGGTTATTTTCTTTTTACAATGTTTTAGGAGGAGATGGAGCAGGGAAAGATTTGAGACTAGGCATATACTACTTACCATAAGTGGAAAGTGGTCATATTGAACTTAGTGACAATCTTAAAATCATCACCTCTCTGCACAGTCCCCTCTCCCCCTACTCTTATCTCCAGAATCTCAACACCCTTCCCTCAAGTCCTATATAAAGACCCCAAATCTAAAAGTACCCCTCTCCAGGACAGAAAGGTCCAATCTCCAAGAACCTCTCACAGATCCCAACACACAAAGCAATAGTTTAACTTCACATTTATCTGTCTCCTAACATCTATACTCACTCCAAACACTTCCATCTCCCTTTAATTCCACAGAAGGCTCCCTAACCACAAGAGAACTCAATAAAACACAAAGCTCCCTACCTTTTAAACCCAATTCCAAACCAAAGAAATATTTCTCAAAGCCAAAGAGCCCTCCTAAGAAACCTCACAAATGTTCCAATCGCAGACATGGGCTTCAGAGAAGTGAGCTCCCTTGTGCGCTGTTCTAACAAATGCTCGGCTCCCAGTCCATGGGAAGCAGGTGGTCCCGGAGCTCGTGCTGCCAGCTGAATCCCAGATAATCAATACTTAAAAGTCATTGCTGAGTTATTCCCTATTGTCGTCCTGTACTGAGTAAGAGAGGAAGCAGACAAGCCCAGACATTCCAAGCCCAGGAATGAGTACTTTTAATCCTACACCCATCAAACGCCTCAAACCACAGAGACTCCTAAAACACAGCGGAACCTTCCACATTGCAAAAGAACCCAAACCGCAAGGCGCCCCTTAAGATCAAGGGAACCCCAAAGTGTCCCCTAAATACACCCCCGCAACTTTCCCAAGCTCCCAATATCACTCGAACGTAAAGGAAAGCCCCAGATCTTGTAACCGCCCCCTCAACGGACTCTTCCACCCCTCAGGTGACCCCTGAAGTCTAGACACGCCCCCAAAGCACCTCACCCGCAGCACCTCCCCCAGGCGACCGGGAGGTGGCGGGACACGCGCGTGCGCGCATCGGACAGCGGGCCCGCCCCCTCGCGCCTCACCTCCGGCCTAACTTCCCTCCGCCCCTTTGTTGACAGACGCGCGCGTGACGCGCTCAGCCAATGAACGGCCGCCGTTCGGAGCCGTGTCCATATAAGGAAGGCCTTGGCGAAGGGGCCCAACTTCGAAATAGGGAGGAGTAGGCGAGAGGTGAGGGGAGGGAGTGGTGGGATAGAAACAGCCAGAAGTAAGGGAGCGTGGACCAATTCCCAACGTCCAGCTAAAAGGAGGAGTCAGGCGCAAACAGAAGCCATGCGCTTAAGGGGAGGGTTATTACACGACGTTCCCTCTAAAAAGAAGTCCTGATTGACATTGGAGATTTAAAGGAAAGGCGGACACGGGAATTGAGAACTCCGGGTAAGAAGAAAGCATGCAGAGAGAGCTAAATCTGCAGCCTTGGTTGCGAGGTGTGGGAGACGAAGTTTCCCAATGGGGAAACTGGACGCCAGAATCACCTCACCTTTAAAAACAAATAGGCAGAACCCTGTGCCACAGGTGCCCGTGGCACAGTCTAAGCTTGTGGCCCTTTCAAGGCTTAGCCCCCAAACCTGACTTACACTCAGTACAGAAAAATAGGAAATAACTCAATAATGATTTTTAAGTACTAAATAAAATTGCACATATGACTTACATTATCTCTGGTCTACATCTTTTCTATGCCAAGTGGACTCAAGAGACCCAAACGTGACTCTAGTGCAAGTCCCTGTCCAGTGTCTCCTGTCCCCCCACCACCCTGCCCCAGCTGTGCCTGCCTTCAGCTATCCCTGCACATGACAGCCACAAGTCTTGTTGAAGCATAAATCTGCCCAGGTCCCTATCATGCTCAGAACCTGCCACGGATCCCTAGTGCTCTCTGGAAAGAGCCCAGGTTCTCAGTAGGCGTTTTCCTCCTCTGCACTGTTATGTATGGATGAAGAAACTGAGGCAGGGCAGGGAGCTTGACCAATCCAAGGTCACAGAGAACTGTTGTGAGGAGGAATATGAAGAAACCGACTCTCATTCCAGCGCCGCTGAGCCACTCTGTGTCACAGGGGTCTCTGGTCAGCATCCCTGCCTCCAGGAAGCAGGTACCCCAGGCTGGTTGGAGCTCCACCCCTGGAGCCCACACAACCCTCCTTGGTGTTTCTAGAAGTCATCAGCCCTTCCCTTACCGACCTGCACTTGCCTCTCCCTCTGTATCATCTCCCTTGACCCCCACATGGCTCCATTTTGTGTTTCATTCAGGCTTTGTGCAAATGTACATATAGAGAGAGCACTCCCTGGGCTTCCTTCCTAAAAACCAGGTACATGCCTAGAGGGATGACTTCTGTGTCCTTTCCTCCCAGCTCTGCCACTCTGGAGCACTGTGTGCCACGGACCTGTCTCTCCTGCTGGATAAGGCATGGCAGGAGGTAGGGTCCGGGACAGGACTTTCTAACTCCTCACACACTAAGCCCAGTGAGGAAAACTCTAGGTCAGGTATCACAGACCCATTCATTAGAAAACATCATGAGCCAGAAAGAGGAAAATAAGATGGAAAAAGACTGACCAAACAAATAAGAACCAAGAGAGGACTGATATGACCATTAAAAAATAATAATAGAGCCAGGTGTGGTGGCACACACCTGGATTCCTAGCACTCGGGAGACTGAGGCAGGAGGATCAAGAGTTTGATTCCAGCCTGGACTACAAGGCAAGACTATCTTCAAAACA